TATGAAATGATGTCATTACCTGAAATGTATTGATAGTGGTAAATTAGAGATATTTCCTTTTTTTACTGAGTTAGACTGTCATAAAGGGTGTTCCTTTAGTACTATTATTGTTGTGAACGTATCCTGTTGTTTCTGCTGTTTTTTTTTTTTTTTTTTTTTTTTTTATGACTTATTTAAACACTTAAATTTAATCAATATACATAAATAAGTTTTTGTTGTTGGTTTGTATCTGATGTTTTAGCTGATTATTAAAAAGTTCATTATTTATTTTATTTTTATAAGTGTCTAATTGGTGTCTAAAGTTATATAATTGGCTAATTAAGGTCAACTATTGCTTGTTCTTTATTTTGTTATTTGCCTGATAATTTGTTTTTTGCTCACCTTGTAATTGTTTATTTCTGACTGTCATCAGCTATTCTTTTTATTATTATAAAAAGAATAGCTGATGATAAAAAGGGTTATTGATATAAGATATAGTTATTTAGTCAGCTCTTTATTTACATACATTTGTTGCAGTTGTGGTTAACTATTACAACTACACTAAAAATTTGTTGTGTTGTAGTTAACTATTACAACTACACTAAATATTTGTTGTGTTGTAGTTAACTATTACAACTACACTAAAAATTTGTTGTGTTGTAGTTAACTATTACAACTACACTAAAAATTTGTTGTGTTGTAGTTAACTATTACAACTACACTAAAAGTAGTATTTAAAAATATGGCTATGTAATTTTTAATTATAATGAGATATTCGATCAATTTTTTTGTAAAATATTGTGAAAGTATAGACTATTCTGGCATGTTGATACTATGGCTGTTTTAACATTTTTAACATTTATATTATTTAAATATTTAAATCTTTCAGGTACACATTTAGAGTTCATTTTGTAAAACAATTTATTGACACATTGATCAATGCATTTTGTACTTTTCTAGCACCAAAGCAGGTATTTTTTATTTTTTCATTTTTTATGATATTTATGTTATACTATTATTTCTATACTAATAGGCTTGTAATTCCATGTGGAAAAATCATATTTCTTCCGAAAATGCCCAAGTTTTAACCAAGTTAAATTTTTTCAAAAGGACTTATAAACCATGTTATTTTATTTTGTTAATTATATTGTGTATGGATATTTTGATCTTGTTTCCAAAATAAAATTTTAGCATAAAGTGTGTCGTTTCTATAATGTCGTTTTTATTTAAAGCATTCAAATAGTAAGAAATAGTAAGCTAAGCTTAGGTCACATTTTATTAGTATTGTGCTATAAACATAAAACCGCTAAAATTGTCGGATAACACCCGTCTAGGTTGTTGTTCAACGTTAGTGCAGTAGTGGTAGAGCGCTTGCCTTATAATCGAGAAATTCCAAGTTCGATCACCACCACGTCCCTGATAGTACCGCGCTCAACTTGTTTCTCCGCGCAGCGGCCTTGTTTGTCATGGTTTGTGTTTCGGAGTTATAGAGTTCAGCGAGGGTTATAACCACAACAAAAGCAGCGTCCTCGACTGTAGTGACTTTCTCCGCCTTAGGAAGGTAAATTAACACACAAAAAAAGACTAGACACGAATTAATAAATTCTCTTCTTTTTTTTTTACTTTTTACTGCGAAAACATCAGAATACTTTCCTTACTGTTTATCTGCGTAGAATCAAGTAACAATTACTTTATTATAGAACTAAGTAACAATTAAAATCAAGTAGAATTAAGTAACAATTAACTTTTAATCAAAAAGTTTATTTGTTAGTGACTTTTCTTTAATTAAATGTTCTTGCATACTTACAGATCACAAACTTTTACAATTGTTAGGTTTAAGGGTTAAAGATAAATAATTTAACGTGAAAAATTTTTCAAAAATGTGCAGTTAAACTTTTTATGAACACAGTATATTTGGTCGTGAGGTGACTATTTTATAACTATTTTATTTGATAACATTAAAACATGTCTGATTTTAGTATACTAATCCGGTGTGTGACCTAAAAAAAAAAAGCTATTTGTTACAAAAATGTTGCTTGCCATATTTTTAACGAAAAGTTTTTTTGTTAAAAAATTTCGACTGGAATATATATCGTAAGTTAAATATTTTTTAGATATTATTAAAAGTAGTAAATTATCATTATAAAAATGCCGTAAAATAATTATAACTCGTTTGACAAAGTAAATGCTTTAATTAACGTATGTTTATTTTAATTTGTTCGTCTGGGTTAACAAAAAACTCCTTGACTGTTTAATTTGTCTACTTATTTAACGATCTACTTATTTAACGTAGGCACAACTATTATAGTTATGACCTTCCTTCCGGCAATCATTATCCTTCCGGTAATCAATACGAATGCCGGACTAAGGTCCGCGAAATCACACAGAAACGTGTTGCTATTTAAAAACTGTCTAAGTAAGACAATGATAAACAGTCGTTGGCGGTTTATTTAAATTAGATATCATAAGCAAATTTAATCTTAATTGATACTATTGTTATTTCAAGAAGCAGTTTTTTTTTCGTATTTCGAATTTAATATATTAGAAAAATACTGAAATTGACTCTTGAATAATTCTCAACAACTGATTAGTTACATCTTTTTGAAATTATATAGTTAAACAGTTTGTAGTATTTATAAAAAAAAAAAATAAAAAATAGCAATAAAAAATACAATTGACTAACTGATAAACCAAACGTAAAACTAAATTCTAAATTATTATTATAAAACTAAATTCTAAATTATTATTATAAAACTAAATTCTAAATTATTATTATAAAACTAAATTCTAAATTATTATTATAAAACTAAATTCTAAATTATTATTATTATTATTATTGTTTTTTTTTTTTTTTTTTTTTTTTTTTTGAGTAAATAAAGTTCCATGCTTCATTACTGTCAGTTTTATAATTAAAAATAAATAAGGTATTTACTCTTAAGAGTTCTAATACTATAAACTAAAAAAATAAATTAGTAGATTAATAGTTTTTAAAACTTTTGAAATGTTTAGATTGAAATTGTTATTACACCTATTTAATAAACATCTAATCATTTAAGCAAATAACTAAGCATAACACCAAATTTTAAGAGTTTTACATGGTTAGATGTATTTATTCCATATACTATGTAGACATCTTGGAAAATGTATATACATTTTCTGATTTAATGATGGATAGATTCAATATAGTATGCACAGGATGCATATAAAGTTCCCATTTATTTAGTTCTTGTAACATAACATTGAATAAAACTAGATGATACTTAATTGAATGACAAGTAACATGAGAATGAATTTTAGTATGACACAAGAGACACTAGCTCTTTAGATCAGTGCCTGTTATAGTATTTGTAGAAAAGAGAAATGGAAGCAACATTTCAACGATGTGATAATGGTTGGGGGCTGGCTGCAAGAGCAGATCCAACTATGTTTACAATGCATCTTTGCACCTTGTCTTAAAGAAAAAAGGCTTCATTGGAAGATCTGCCCCAGATATGGCAGCAGTATTCCATACAAGGGCGGATTTGAGATTTATAGAGATAAAGAATAGAATCCAGAGTAAGAAAGTGTGGAGTATGATAAAGAAATGCAACCTTAGCAAATGCTAATTTTGCAATGGATTTGATATACGGTTTCCGAAAAAGATGGGAATTAAGAGTTATTCCTAGAAGATTAAGGGCAGATGATTTGTCAAGTACATCGCCATTCATAAATATAGGAAGGTCTGATTTATTTATTCTATGTTGTATAGTCATCTTATTACCTCTAACTCTACTGTATTATATTATATAAAAGTTACTTCTAACCCTTTATACAACTAATGTTAAAGTACTGTATATACACTACTTTTATGTCAATGTATGTACGCTTTACTAGGTATTAGTGGATACAATCACTAATATAAATTTTAAGGATTTTTTTTCCATTATATATATATATATATATATATATATATATATATATATAACATTAAAATATATATATATATATATATATATATATATATATATATACTATATATATATATATATATATATATATATATATATATATATATATATATATATATATATATATATATATATATATATATATATATATATTAAAATATATATATATATATATATATATATATATATATATATATATATATATTAAAATATATATATATATATATATATATATTATATATATATGTAAATTATTTTAATGTTATATATATATATATATATATATATATATATATATATATATATATATATATATATATATATATATATATATATATATATATATATTAGGGTGGGTCATAAAATTTTTTTTTCTTGTTACAGGCTCTAAACATTGCTAATAGTTATTAATATTGATACTATCAAATATGAGAATGATTGTGATAGATTTAAAGGGCGCAACTTTATTGGGAAAATTACCATACCCTAATATTTTAGAGAAAAAAAGTTTTTCAAAAGTAGGTCAACCTGGTACTCAAAAGAAGCGAAATTTTATAAAAAATTCAAAAATAATAATTTTATAAATCATATTGATGAAAAAAATTGTTATTAAAAAACATGTAAAAATGCACCTTTTTTACTTTTAGTTAAAAAACTATAGTTATTATGCAATAAAGTCTAAAATAATAATTTTTATATTATTTTTGAAATTTTTATAAAATTTCGCTCTATTTGAGTACCTACATCACATAATTTTGAAAAACTTTTTTTTTGAATAATAATAGGGCCTGCTAATTTTTGTAATTATAGTTGCGAGTGGAAGACATTGTTCAATCCATAAAAGTAAATACTTTCCTAAATTAGTACATAAAAAAACAACTTTCTAGACCATAGCCAGGTTAGCAACTCTAAAAAAAAAATTTATGACCCACCCTAATATATATATATATATATATATATATATATATATATATATATATATATATATATATATATATATATATATATATATATATATATATATATATATATATATATATATATATATATATATATATTACTGAAAATTAAAGTTATCGTTGATAGAAAATAAATATGGAGGAATCTGAAAATGAACAAAAACTTTTCTCTATGGAATCATATGAAGATTTAGATTGGGACGGATTGCTTTACGTGTGCAAAGAAAAGGAAGAACAACTTAATCTAGCTGGAGCATGTGGTTTAAAATTACATGAACAATTGATTGAAACTCAAATGTATATTGATGAGATGAGAGTCCAACATGAAGCTGAAATGGAGGTTTTTAAGTTTTTTCTATTTTGTGGTTCAATAATCACTCAGAGACCATTTTTTTTTCATGCTTTTATGGGATTTTTATTTTTATAACACTTTTCTGAAAAATTAGTATAAAGTTTTTTTTCTTTTTATAAATCTTATAAATATTTAAAGATATAAATTAGTTTGATTTATAATTATGCTAAAAAATATTTATAAGATTATAAGTGTTATTAAAAACTTTTTTTTCAATTTGTTTAGGGGTGTTAAGAAAAACACAAAATGTAAACTTATGCAGTATATAATGTAAACAACATTTTTATAAATTATAAAATTATGTAAAAAAAATAATAATAACAAAAAAGATGTTAGATTCAATCGCATTCAAATAAAGACAAGAAAATAGATTTTTTCAGACAAAGACAAAACTTTTTTAAAGACAATAAAATATTTCCTATATATTATAGATTTAAAGGTACCTACATATTATATTTTATGATGAGCTGAGAATGCAACTGTGATGCTAATTGAAAAGTCAATTGAAAGTGTTTGGTTTTAATTTAATAATGTTGATTCAATAAAATGAGGGTTTCTAAAAACAGTGGTTTTTAAAAAACAGCTGTTTTACTGTTTTATAATTTTCAAAAAAAACTTTTAACAGCCGTTTTACTGTTTTTAAAATTCACACCACCCCCCTTGTATTAGGCAGGCAAGAGTGAAGTTTTTTCCAATAATATATATCCTAACATAAGCTTTACATTTTATAATAGTATTTCAAAAATACAAGAGCTGATAATGACTTATCTAAAATTCGTGATCTTATTTTTGTACAAAAGTTGGCACACATGGAGAATACTATTTTAACATCTGTAGATGTGGGTTTAATTGTTAATGCATCATAAAGCTTTTGTAAGTTTTCTGTATGCTAGCCTGTATTCTTAAAAAGAGTATATTCAGCTTTTAACCACCTGAAATAATCCTGGGCAGAAGGCACTGTTGGTGATTCATTTTTCTTCAGCAACACATTCAGTTCCTCTTGTAGAGTTGAAATTTTATCTGATGGATTACTGGAAGTTGTTTCAATAATATTAACGTCATGAACACTAAAAAGTCGAGATGCCAAAATTCCTGCAAAAGTTATTGTATCTCTGGATGGGGTTATTGTAGAGTTCTTTAGACAGTGTAATAAATTCATAACATCTGTATTCAGGCATTCGTTGACTCTAATTCTCAAATTATCCATCAATTTTTTGCTAGTTTCACTGTTAACCAAAGAAAGTTTCTCAAATGTAAATTCTAAAATCAACAGAGTTATATCTTTTCTACTAAAATTCTCTATAGCAAGTTTAATGGGTTTCATTGCCTCTAGCAAACCTTTCAAGGCATCAAAGTCTACATTATTGGCTAAACTTATATCTGCCTTTAATTCTAATAAAGTCTCTGGAATTGCTGTCTCTGTCTCTACCAATAGTTTAAGCATTATTGGTATTGTGTTCCAGTTTGATGTATTTTATCAGTGAGTTCTTAAGTAAATTATTGGAGTCAATAAAATATTTGTAATCATCATTTATCAATTCAAAATGGTGCCTTCGTCAAAAAAATCATTTTTGTTGTTATCATCATCACAGGGGTTGCTTAAATCTTCAATATCATGTTTTTTCGTATAAAGTGTGTCACATACTCCAAGAGGTATACCGTGATTAAGACAAAATTGACCATTAACATATAAATCTCAAATAATACTTCTTGTTTACAGATGCTCCATCCTGAGTATATGCAACCAAATCTTTTTCCATTGGTATTCAAAACACATTTAGATGTTGTTTCATTATTTCAACCATTTCAAGTGCACTGCAAGAACCCCAAAATTCGAATTAATTCTGTTTTATGTGATATTGTTAGTTTTATCATGAATCTTAGCTCAAAAATATCTTCGTCCTCTTAAAGTAGTGACCTCTAAATGCTAAACGCCACTTTATTAGCTACTTTTAATTTTATGGTGTTAATCTTTTTTTTTTTGCTTTTCATCAAAAAACTTTGCACAAAAGTTTCATTACATCACTTTCTTTAGCAGGGAGTTTAAAGTCAATGTAAATAAGAAACTAGTGCTAGAAGCTCTATTTATAACTCTTAAGAAACCTTTAAGAAACTTTTAGTATTAGATTAGTAAAAAAGAACTATTAAAAAAGGAAACTCCTTAGTATTTGCTTGTGTGCTTAGTTTTTTTTATAAAAAATGATAACTACTGAATTAAAATTATTTATTAAAGTTACTTATTATCTTATATTTAAACTATTTATTAAATTGTTATTGAAAAATAAGTCAAATTAAATTACCATTCAAATTGCTTTAATAAACGTATTGTTATATTGTTAATAAAGAAACTTTTCTCTTAGCAATTGTAAATTTTCAAATATAAATAATTAAACTTTTATCTGGAAGTGTTCAAATAAAAAAATTCGAACATTTTCGGGTTTGAATGAAGCTTTATGCAGTAAAAACTCATTATAATATTGAAATAGAATTTAATCGTTATTTAAACAAATTTAGAATTTAATCTTAAATTTAAATGATTTTGTATAATATAGCAGTTTTATTTTTTATAACGGTTTTTAATATACTTAATAACGAGGGTATCAATATTCTCTAGAAATATCGTAAAAATAAATATATTTTTAACAAATAGATAATAAACCATAAAAAGAAGTTTTATTTAAAATATTTATACAAATAAAATCTATTGAAGATGTCAACATTTAAAATTTACATTGAAGCCAAATATGGTAATGGCGTTTACAAAGAAACCAACATGTTGAAAAACCTTAAGAAAACAATTGCAAAATCGAAAAATCAGTGGGTATTTTTACAACGATGTGTAAAACATCATATATTTTCGAAATCATTACGACTAAGATGTCCAGTAAACTCACCTTATGCAAAACAACTAAATGAAAAGTGTAAGTACAATCTATTATACCATACAAAGAATGACGCTAAAAAAGATTTTTTCCAAAATACATACAAAGCAAAGTTTTGCGAGGAATGAATACGACCATTTGTTGACATCTGATGATTTTAAAGCAATAACATCTATCACTGATAAATTTTATGAAAATATGTTCATAAAATCTATAGAAAAATTAAAGGATAAGTTTGAGAAATTATATAATAGCGGCACTATCAACAACAATAACAACAAAAACAAGAAGAAAATTAGTGAGGTAACGCTTAATTTAGCTAATTCTGAAATTCCAATACATCACAAAAAGTTACTTGATCTCTGACCTAAGTTTGTTCCAACACCAAAATCAATACCATATTTAGATATCATTTCAGTTACTGAATCATGTGCCTTAAAATTGCAATAAAATATAGCATAAAATTGTAAGAAACCAACTGAGTGAGTTAAATCAAGACAAGAAGTTATATCAATTTTAAAAATGGCCAAACCAATTAAAAGTAACATTAACAATGAGCAAAGGAGAGCTCTTTTTGAAATTAGAAAAAAATGAATATTCAGATATATCCATTTGACAAAGGATCTGGATTAGTTCGAATTGATCAAAATAGTGCTCTATAAAAAAAATGAAGAGCACTTAGGAGATACAAAAAAGTTAAATAACAACCCAACTTTTCAAATTCTTCGCAAAGTTCAAATCACCCTCAGAAAGTTAAATAAACTAGGATGTTTTACCAAAAAAGAATATAAAAATATCTACCCAAGAGGCGCAATACCACCATGTTTATATGGAGTAATTAAAGCCCATAAGCCTGAAACAGGTTACCCAATGAGGTTAATTGTAAGCACCATTGGCGCACCTACATACAGCATCTCTAAATATTTAGTCAATATAGTATAACCCATTCTAAACTAAATGAAACGCGTATAAAAAATTCTCTACAATTTGTGGATACAGCAAGATTATGGAAAATTGATAAGAATGAGGTTCAGGTCTTCTTTGATATTGTTAATTTGTACCCTTTTGTCCCGGTTAAAGAAGCATTATACTAATTGAAAGATTAAAAAACAACCAGAGCTTTAAATCTAAATTAACTTTTGAAGAAATCAGGTTACTTTTAGAACTTTTGTCTTTCTCATTGCTACTTTTTATATGAAAATGATATTCATAAACTTGAAAACTCCGGACCAATTTGGTTAGCTCTTATGGTGGTAGTTGCTGAGTGTTTTTTACAATATCATGAAAGTAATGCTCTTTCATTGGTAGAAGTAATGCTCTTTCATTGGTTCATTTTCAGGTAGAAGGAGATGCGCAAAAGTTTTTAGATCAACTTAACTAACAACACAAAAGTATTCAATACAAAATTGGAATCTGCAGACTTGACCAATACATTAAACTTTCTTGACGTTTCAGTTACCAACAATAAAACCGATACATATAGTTTAAAAATACATCGCAAAAATGCAATCACAAACGTTCAAATTAAACCAAACTCATGCCATGACCCTAAAATTATCAATGGTGTCTTTATTGGTTTTGTCCATAGAGCACTATGGTTATGCACAATAATTAACATTGATAATTAGTTGTCTTTTCTTATCGATGTATTTGTAGAAAACGGCTATGAGAGGAAAAGTCTGGAAAAACTAGTAAGTCTATGAAAAATAATGTTAACAACAAAAAAGATCTCATGAAAAATAAATATTTCTTAATGTCTCCAAAGAGATTTGTCTTTACCCTGGATCCCCGGAATCAGTCCTAAGTTAAGAAAAGTTTTTAAAAAAGCAAGATACGCACCAGTGTTTAAGTCACCAAAAAATCTCCAAACTCTACTAATACTCTTGTGGCAAATGTTATGTTGGTGAAACTGGACTAAAGATATCGTCTCGGATATGCCAGCATCGAACAAGTGCACAACAAGGTAAAGGGGAAAAATCAGCTGTAGTTGAACATTCAAAAAATTTGCAAAGGAAATTTCCACTGAAATGGTCACAATACCTTAAGAATAGAAATAAATAGTTTTAATAGGAAAGTTAAGGAAGCATTGGAAATACAACACAACGAAAATACCTTTCGTGACAATGGTCTTAATTGGGATGATGACGATAATGTGACAACGTCATTTTAGAAACCCATGTTCAAATTCTTACGTCACAAAAAACTCTCTTAATAAGAAGCTCTTACAAAGAACACTGTTTCATAAATTTAAACGATTTTACATAATACAGCAGTTTTATTTTTATAATGGTTTTTTATAACGGCTCTTAATATACTTGATAACGAGGGTATCAATATTCCTTCGAAATATCGTAAAAATGAATATATTTTTAACAAAAAGATATTAAACTATAAAAAGAAGTTTTATTTAAAATTCTTATACAAATAAAATCTATTGAAGATGTCAACATTTAAAATTTAATCATTATGCGAATGCATAAAACCAGTTCCAGTTTTTAATTTCTGTTGCATTAATTTTTTAATTAAAAAAGCAGTAAAAAAAGTCATTCAAAAAACAGCTGTTTGCTGTTTTTGTTTTTTCCCTAAAAAAAAAAGCTGTTTTACTGTTACTGTTGAACAGTATTCAGAAACCCTAGATTTTCAGAAACCCTAAATTTAGATTAGATAACATTTTTAATGAAATAAGACGTTGACTCTTTAATTCTCTCAAATCTTTTCAACTTTATGTTCCATTTAATATGCTCAAGCTAATGCATTCATAAAACACATTTAAATGTATATAATACAATAGTATATTAATGTAAATAATTACTATATAGCAACACCCAGGGCCAGATTTACAATCTTGGGACTCTAGGCTGAATCAATTTTTGGGGCTCTCAAAAATATTTTGAATGGAAAATCATTATATAGTATATATAGCATAAAACTGTTCATTGTTTTCTTTTGTATCTTCAATTTTGTAGTTTAGCGCTACAGCGTTTATATAGATTTGTTCTTTTTTTTTTCTTCCTTTTGAAATTGACTTCCTTTGTGCAGAATTATTATCTAAGGAATTTAGTGTTAAATAATTTTTCAGAGGGATTTGTTATGTAGCAAAGTTGGACTTGATTTTATCATAAATCCGCTGTTAAAACCTAGATTACCTAGGCTTCGTACATTGTTATTGTACATGTGCACAGTTATTATTAAATAAATAATTAAAGAGTTTGCTATGATGATGTTTGTAGTCTGATCATTGATAATATGTCACTTAATCAATCCAACATCTATAAGTTGGACTAAGGAAAAATTAGATACTCTGAAATATGGATGGAATTGGCCACAAGTATGTTGTGTCAAAATTTAAACATACATGTTGTCGGATTGAAATGATTTGTTTTGGTTTATTTACCAATTTAAATAATTCATGTAACTTAGCAACATTATGCATAAATTATTCAAGTTCAAATATACTGCTATTAATATTAGTATTTGTTTATATTACAAATTATTATAAAGTAATAAGAACTCTTTATGAGAGTTGAAATATTTTTATAAGTTATATTAAAAATAATAATTTTATTATTTACTTTTTTTTTTAAACTATTAATCATTAGTTTAAAGTTTATTTCAATTTTCTACTTTTTTTTTCTTTCCAGAAAATGGTGCAGGAAATGTTTGAACTTCGCATTAAATTAGAGGGAAAAGATAAATCGCTTTCCATTCAACAACAAGAGTTTGAAAATTTTCAAAATCATCTAACAAAAAAATTTAAAGATGAAGAGGAGGAATTAAAAAACCAACACAAAAAAGAAATTAATGCAATGAAAAAAGCAAATGAGCTTCTTAATTCCACTATTGAACAGGTTGTTTGTTTTTTTTTAAATTATGGTGTCAAAAAAAAACTTTATAGCTCTGATGACTTATAGTTCTAAAAGCTTTTAAATTTTAGGCAAAAGTTTATTGGAACAATTTATTTCTTTGGCTTTAGTATATTGAAAAATTTTATTTGTTTTTTTTCTAAAGAATGTTGATTATTTTAAGTTATTGATAGTTAACCAATGATTGCAGAGTTTTATTTGTCAATCATTGAATTTGATATTTCTAATGATTGATCAATGTAGATCAAGTGATATATATATGTAGTTATATTACTAATGATACCTGAAGGAAATGAGCTTTATAGTGATTTTTAAATTTTAGTATTGAATCTAATATATTTATAATAATGAGTTTATTACACTGGCATTTTATTACAAAATGTCTCAAATTTCATATTTCAGCTTTTTAGCTATCAATATTACTACAATATCTTTAGCTACTTATCGTAAAATTGTAGCTAGCTACAACATAATGACAAATCTGTAGCATAGGCTACACGACAAATCTGTAGTCATAGGCTACACGACAAATCTGTAGCTAGTCATAGGCTATTTATTGCAGCCTCGTAACTTGTAATATTATTATGACATATCGATAGCTACAAATTGTAGGTGTAATGTGATATAATATATATTAATAACATTAGAAATGTATTATATCATATATATATATATAGCTACAGCATGATGACAAATCTAAAGCTAGTTGATTGCTATATATTCTGATTTTTTAGCTAGGATTGTTGTTATGATATATTGATATCTGCATACCATAGCTTTGTTGCAAGCTTCTACATAACAACAATACTATAGTTACTACATGGCTAAAGCCACTTATTGCAATAGTGATATGTGTATACATATTGCATGTTTTTACTAAGTGATTTTAAATCGATATTTTGTTGTCTGTATATTGTAGCTTTGTTGCTAAAACATAAATTTAAATCTATAGGTCGCTATTGTTAGGCAAAAAGTTGTGGAAAAAACACAGCAACATTTTAGCTGGCCCTATTATAATTATTATATTATTGTAGTTAACTATAAGTTATTGATTAGTCTATCTATTCAATAGCTAACGCAGCATTGTAGCTATCAACATGATTGTTTTAGATAAAACTACCAAAATAATAAAAAGTAAAAAAAGATGCAATCACAAGCAAAAATTGATAAAGATTGGGTTGTATAAATAGAAATCTGGTGTTTTATAACCATTCTTCTAAAACAAACCTGGCTAGCCATGCATGCTGCTCCTCTAAACAGTTAGTTTTTGTGTGAGCTGTTGGAATATTCATAAAATAATTTTATATAGGAATATTCATAAAAGAAATGGATAGTGGGTTTTCGCACCCACTATCCACCCACCCACTATGCATTTATTCATTAAGTACTTTACTTATTCGATAAAAAATTTGTTATGCTAAAAAGCAAACAATTACATTTTGTAAGCAAAAAAAAGTCAATTTGAAACACGAACATTGTCTTTTGATTAAATGTGCTTTGCACAAGAATTTGTAATTTATCTAATCAATATCTAAAAGTAAATAAAAAAAGAAAGTGGTTTATATTTATGACAAAATTATACTTTTGCAAGAACCATCAATTGCTTCTATAAACCACTTTAGGGAGTGTGGGCAAAAGCAAGAACTCAAGCTGAAAACGCAGGCCTGAATATATAAAAATAGAAAGTGAGTTTTTGCTAGGTAATTGCCAACTTTTTTAGTTAGCAATCCCCGTAGCCAGATCGCTGTCTTTATTGTTACAAACATTGCTAGCTGGTCACTAGTCACTTACCGGGGTGCTGTCTAGATTATGTGATCTATATGTAGTTAGAGTGAATGATACATTTAGATTATGTGATGTATATGTAGTGATGTAGTTAGAGTAAATGATAAGTTTAATAGTATGATTCTGTTTATCTAAACCATTTAGTAGGAATTAATGATTTACAACACAGTTTATGATAAATTTTGTTTTTAGGTAAAACTGAGCGAAAGTCAAACAAGACAATGTATCGAACAACTTAATAGCAAAATTTATGAACTACAAACATGTAATCAACAACAACGACAAATTTCTAGCACCACCAACAATGATTCTGAAATGTTTGAAATGCAAGAAAAATATTATGCTCTGGAAGAAACACTAGAAACTAAAGAAAATCTTATAAGGAATATAGAAAATACAATTCAGTCTTTAAAACTTGTTCTTCAAACAAAAGAAAAAGAAATTGAATCATTGCGTAAAGAATTAGAGGAATCAGAAATTCAATCAACTAGTTACTTTAATCATCTTCAGGTTGTTTTTTTTTTTAAATTTTTAATGTCTTGGTCACACTTTTCTCTCAACAAAAATTTATATTAAAGTTTAATACCCAGTAATAGAGTTGTTAGCAAGGCCAAAAGAAGCAAGGACAAGGCCAAGATTAAGAGTTTTAAGACAAAACCCTACACAAACATTTGTGACAATAAAATCACATTTTGAAAAAATAGACCAAGATTAAGCCCAGAATTCAACAAAATCAATAAGAAAATATGTATTTTTAAGGCCATTAGGCCATTTAGTAAATTTTATATGTTAAAATATAATGCATTACTTACGATAAGAAAGGCAAAGAAATGAAATTTAGTATAAATAATATTAATAAGACAATTTCAATATGTTTGATTAGACTATATATAAATGCTTTATATAAAATTGAAAATTCTGAACACTTTTTCTTTGTTTTATAATTGTATAATAATTATTGAAAATACATTTAAATCATGATTTTTATTGGAGCTTTGCTCTAAACAATCCTGGATTTCAGTCAATCATCAATCAAAACTAGAAATTTTGTCTAATTGCTGTTTTGACGTATAACAAACACTCATGTGTTAGATATTGTCTTAAATACTTTTAAAATTTTAGGAAGTTAATAAAAAAAATTTTCTTTTGATTTTAAGTTTCGCATTTATTTGCAGAAATTTAAAAAATAGAAGTTTTCATAAAATGTAAATTTCAATATAAATTGCAGTGTAAGCACCTACTACTAATGTTGTACACTGCACATTTAAAATAATTAAGTATGGGAGTAAGTGAGGCTCTTTATCCTTGGAGAAGACAACTTACCTAGGACAAAGGAAAACCCTAACCCTGAAAGGAAAATCTGATATGAAAACATTAGATGTTAAACTAAACTCTTACCAACCTGCATTTTTATTTATTTTTTATCTTGAATTTTTTTATAATGAATTTGAAATATGCATTAAATTTAAATAGAAATAGAAAAAATTCCAAAAAAAACCCCTTATTTTAGGGTAAATCTAGAATATTTGGTATATAGAACATTTTTTGTGGGCGCACAAAGCATATTTTAATTTCTTCCAAATAAGGAAGAATGGAATTAAAAATTTTTATAAAATTATAATATAATTAATTTTTTTTAATTAATTATCAATATTTACGAAATAATTAAGTATCATTTAATTGAATTAAAGTAATTTTAAAGTTATAAAATGTTTTTAATTAAAATATTTCAAAATTTTTAAACTTTAATCATCTGGTAATGATAAAATGTTTCAAACATAGAATAACTTTGTATTTTGAACATTGTACTGAAGATTTCGAATCATAACCATTGTTTGCTTTGATGTCTTCCTTTAATAAAATCTGGCCAATAATCAATTTTATCGTAACTTACATTTTCATTCACTTTACTGCGCTTTAGAGAAGGATGAACAGTTCTTCAATGCTTAACATGAATGCAAGATTTGCTCTAGGCTTTTCTCTCCTTGGTAGCTTCAGGCGTTCCTTAATCTAATGCTATTCTCCTTGGTAACACCATTCTCCTTAGTAACACCATTCACCTTGGTAACACCATTCTCCATGGTAACACCAATAATCAACATTAAAGTATCAGATGAAATTATTCACTAATTTTTCAAACAAGTACCAAGTTTGGAGTTTTATTTGAACTTTATTCAGTCTAACAGTTGATATTAATTGGTAACCTTGTTAACTCAACTTTTTCAAATCAATAGTCAATACAGGAAATGTGAAGCAGTCAAAAAATATCCTAAAATTTTGAATCTTTGATATATTTCAAATCGCATCACGACATTTGTGCCGCAGTTTTTTCTAAAAATTGAAGCTGTGTTGTTTAAGTTTGCTCCTAACGTTCCTTTTGTTGCGTGTAGGGAAGTAATTTCCACCTTTTTACTAGTCATCCTAATGGTTCACTGGAAGCTGATGTATAATGAAGTTATTAGTTTCATCTGAAGTTATGGTTTGTTGAGATGAATTATAAATCAAGCAGAGATAATGATTATAGATGATTAATCTAAACTCATTCCAAAATCTGACAATTTTGGAATGAGCTTAGATTGATCGGTATTTTGTACATAATTTGATGAAGCTGTGGTTTTTCGTATTACAGTAGAGTTCGGTGCAATATTTTACATAGAGCTTTCTCTGCTCCAGTATATAGAAAAAAAATCTTAAACGATTCTAGATGTAGCATTACATCAAGTTATGAATTTGAATCATTTACACAGCTTTTTCGGATTGTATTGTCACAAATCTTTTTTTTATTTTTGTAAGGAATAATTTGCTCATTAACACTGTTATACTCTTCTGGATCAATGGAATAAAACATGATCATGCAGTGTACAAAATTTAAACAATTTTTGTTCAAATTTTGTGCACTAATTTTTGATATCTTCAAATTGATTTTGTTGCATCATATCAGTGATTTTCAAAAGACGGAAAGATGGCGTTTGACTAACTCTCATTTGGAATATTTTGCTCAATTTTACTTGGTGTTTCATTGATCGATTTGCCAGTTTTCTTAACAGAATAAAAATGAGTTGCATTAGCTAAATATTTCATCTTTTTTCAAAAAATTGAAGAAAAGTCAATTAATGAAGATTGATCAATGTTGAACATTTAATAATCTGGTGTTTTGTCAAGAAATTCATTTGAGCAAATTATAGATAAAAAAAATTTTTTCCTTTAGAACTTTATATAATGCAGAATTTTTTTTGGTTTTATTGGTGTTTTTTATTTGTGTTTTTTTTGTCTTGTATTTGACTGTATATTTACCAAATGTTCTGTTGACACATCATCATCAATGTTTTGTTGACACATCATCAAGGAATTCATTTTGTTTCATCATCTTAATTAAGCTTTTTACTTAATTAAGATTGCATATCAGTGATGTTACAACCATCATCCCTAGTCTCATTGTCCACAACAATTTTATCTGAAAAGAGTCATATCATTATATCACATTACTAATCACATAATTACATCTCTCCTTTTATTTTTTCAAAGATTTTTAATATTGTTCATCTAGATACGACTGCAACAGTACGACCCGCAGTACGACCAAAACAACCAGATGTTCTATATAATGAATAAAATGCTCTGAAATAATTTTGGGAAAAATTTTTTTTTACCGAAAAATAAGTACCATATTTATGAGGTTAACATAAGAAATTTAATTTATTGAAAAGAAAGTGATAAAATACAGTTTGTATCCCCACTGGTAATTAATTGCATTAAATGCTTTTCAATATTAACAGTTATTATATTATAATATATCTTATTTTTTTGTAATATTACAACAGTTTATATTTGTTTAAATTTTAGAGAATTCGAAAGGAGTCATGTGAATTACACACAGAATTAGAGAATTTAAAAGCTGAGATGAAAAGTTCTGGTCATTTCCAATCTGGAAACTCTTTATTTGCAGAGGTGATGCTTTTATAAAATAGTTGGAATATTTTTTTTTATCTAAAGCTCTACCAAAAGAAATTGTTGAAAGATAATAGTCTCCAGATAGAGTCAAAAAATGAAGTTAAATATGTCAAAGTTATAACTTTTGGGTATAAAAAAGATTATGAAAGCATTAACTCAAATCAACAAACATTTAAAAAATGTGTTCAATAGTCATTGATTATTTTAAACTGGAAATATTTGTTCATAGGTTGAAGACAAGCGGTTGGAAATGGAGAAGAAGTTGTTGTCAATGAAAGTAAAACATGAATCTTTGCAAAAATCTTATAATTTTTTGAAATCCCAAAATCACTCAATGAAGGTAATTTTTTATTAGTTTGTGCTATTACATTTTTTTATTTTTATTTTTAATCAGTTGTTAAATTGATTAATATTAGACACAAATTACTGCTTTGCTTCAAATGAATGCAGGCAAAGCAGACGGAGAAAGAATTTTACAACTTGAGAGGGCTTTATCTCAAGCCAAATCAGAAGCTCAAGAGCTCTCTAAAAAGTTAAAAGAGACTGAAGATAATCATGTAATTTTTATAATTGTTTTGTTTATGAAGTGTTTATTTAGTTTTAATAGTTTATGATTTGTATTTTGTTCTAGGACTTTTGCATTCTAGCTATCCAGTGGTGGATTTAGTATAAGGTGGGGGGGGGTGAGCTGCCCCCATGCCCTCTAGAACAGTCAAACGGCGCCTCCTAAAACATTCAAAAAAATATATAATAATTTTTTTAAATAATTTCTGATTGTCTTTCTATTGGAAATCAGTATCTGTTGTCAGCTTTTCTGTTCTCGTAGTTGTATTGTAATTGTAATTAAAATTGTTATTATTATTTGATTTTTAAACATTAATTATTTATTATTGTTATTAATTAGATGCTAAAAATTAGTGACTTAGGTGTTTGTTTCAGATAATCAGCATTACTATTTTTAAGAGTTGTTAAAATATTTTTTACAGAGTATATATAAGAGATTGATTTTATCAAATCAGAAGAACAGTTTACTCGTAAATCTTTGCTATCATATTGTTATGTTAACTATTATGAATGATACCGATCATTTGGACTACCCTTTAGATCCCGGACTATATAATAATACAAATTTGAGCACAAAGCTGATAAGTAAGTTATGTGAAATAGGACCATGTCATGAAGGTCTACAGAAATCTTTCCAATTTTCAACTGATGAAGCCGGCCGTAATTTGCAAATATCTTGGTATACAAGAACTATTGGAAAGGGAAATATAAAAAAGGGAAAGAAATTGGCTTGTTTTTTCAGCTAGCAATCAAAAAATGTACTGCCACACTTGCTGGTTATTTGCTGATTTTAAAACTGAAAATTATAGCAAAGAATGGTCTGATACATTTGCAAGAGTTTATAAGTGGAAAAAAAGGATGGAAAAAATTGTTAAACACGAAACCTCTCACCAGCATCAAAATGCAATACGCCAATATTTGCTTACTAAATATCCTATTTTAAATGATAAAACTGTTATATCTGGTTTAATTAGTCAAGAGTGTCGCGAAGTGGAAAAGAATAGAGAAGTTTGGAAACAAATGTTTGAAATGTAACGTAAGTTTTGAAATGTAACGTTGTTCTTAGCAAAGCAAGGTTTATCATTTAGAGGACACAGAGAATATCAACATTACAAAATGAGTAGTACAGCTAATAACGCTGGCAATTTTCTTGAGCTGTTAACTCTATTATCCAAATATGATCTTACTTTAAACAATCATCTTAAGTATGAAAAGAGAAATCAACTGTATTTAAGTCATGATGTACAAAATGATTTAATTCAATTGCTTGCTCCTGAAATTTCATCCACAATCAACAATAAAGTTAAATAAGCCCAGTTTTTTTTGCTAATTATTGATTCAACTATTGGTATTTCCAGAATTGATCAGATGTCAGTTTTGTTACGAATGGTTTTAAAATCAGGTAATGTTGTGGAAAGATTCATAGGCTTCTATACTTTAGAAAACAGCAAAGCTGAAGTATTTGCTGAGTTAATTTTATCTGAGCTTAAAAAATGAAACATTGATATTAAACTCTGCAGAGGACAAGCATATGATAGTACTTCTGTAATGTCTGGAATTAAAAGTTGGGTAAAAGCGCTTTCACTTGCCACTTCACACGCCAAACTTGGGTAAAAGCGCTTTCACCTAATGCCATCTATATTCATTGTTGTGCCCATGTTTTAAATTTGGTGACCATCGAAGTAATGTCTGTAAACAGCGATGTCCAGTTGTTTTTTGGCACAGCTGAAAAATTGTATACATACCTTACGTCTAGTTTTCCGCAACTTCATATTCTCCAAGAACACCAGAACCGTCTATATGAATCAACAGTAGACACTCTGAAATGACTTTCTGATACAAGAAGGCCGAGTAGGAAGCATGCAGTTTATGCTGTTGTTGAATCTTTTTCTGCTATTCTAGCCACTCTATAAGATATAAATCTAGGAGAATCCGAAGAACATACAGGAAGTGTTATAGCAGAAGCTATTGGACTATCAGTTTTAATAAAAAAATATTCAATTGTTTTTCTAATGTTATTTCTGGAAAAGTTGTTAAATAATCTTTTTGTGTTATCTAACTATTTGCAAAGAAATGATATTGATGTTTTATTTGCAAAACAGTTGATTGATGTTACAAAAAAAAGTTTGTCAATATGAGAAACAATGTAGCTTTTGAAGTTCTACATTTAGCAGTCAAATCATTTATTAGTGAAAAATGTGCCAAATTAGTTGTAGAGACTGAATTTAAAAACAAGCAAGTAGCCAAAAAAAAAACTCATGACAGGAGAGCTGTGGAGAGATGAAAAAGTAGATGATTTTGAACTACACATTTTGAATGTGAAAGCTACTTCAATGTTTTGGATGAAATTATAACCCAAATAATTGAACGATTTTATGACTTTAGTAACACAGTTACACATTTTGACTGCCTTGACCCGGCAAATTTATCCGAGGAAAATATAAATTCATTTAAAAATTTATGTCAAAATTATTGAATAGATGTAAACACTGAAGAAGCAATCGTAGAATATGAAACTTTCAAAGATGTGTATGCATCGATATCCCCATCACTAACAACAATGAAAGATGTACTTCAATTCTTGATTGAGAAACAGATGGTACCCGGCCTCTTAACTTGTCTATTCTTTACAAAATCTACATGACTTTTCCTGTTACATCTGCTAATGCTGAAAGAAGTTTCAGTAAACTGAAGATTATAAAAAATTATCTCAGATCAACAATGACAAACAAACATTTTTCTGGATTAGCATTAATTTCTATTGAACGAGAGCTTGGTGAAACCATTGACTTTAACTTCTCGATTAATCGTTTTGCTTAAATTGAAATCTCGCAGAAAAATTTTTTTGTACATCATCTGAAAAGTGAACTTTTTTTCCAGATGCTAACTTTTCCAGTATGTCTAGTTAAATATATTTTTTAATGACTATTTCAGTAATATTAAATGTTTCTTATTTTTTAAAAGATAGTTGTTAACTAAAATGAACATAGTAAACTCAGAAAAAATTAGGTTATTTACTGTCTTATATGTATGTAATATGTATGATAAAAGCCACGTAAAACCACTTATAAAGTATTTTAGTCATGAGAGCGATCCTCAGGAAAATAATTTCTGGGGTTTAAAATACCAAACCCAACCCCGGTCGCCCCTATTCATTGACTTGCCCCCCTCCCTCACCCTGCGACACTAAACCTCAATCTGCCACTCTAGCTATCTATAATGACATGAATTAATAAATGTAAATGTGTGTGAAAAAAAATGTTTATGTGATCTATAATTAAAAAACCTTTTAAGGTTTCATCCAATGAAATTTCATATTTCTTTTTATTTTAAGGCAATTTCATCAGATGATTTATTGAATGTTGCAAAAGATTTACCCGAGTTTCAAAGTACTAAAGATATTATCAATTTTCTTTCTATACAACTCAAGGAACAAAAGTAAATATTTTTTTGCTTGCATTCTAGTAGTGTATTTTTTTTTTAATAAATTCAAGTCAAATCTTGGATAGCATGAACTTCATCAAGTTTTTGTCCTCTTTCAGCAAATTTCTTGGGGTAACTTAAACTTTTTATATGGGAATTAAAGATGTCGTCATAATTAAAAAGAATTCATTCCATATTAAGCATAAATAACTGTAACCTAATATTTTTTTATTTTTTAGTTGCATTTAAATCTGGATAGAATAGATAGTTATCAGACATAAAATAATGCTATAATAAAGTTGTTAAAATATAAATAATGATAAAAAACATTAAAAAACCATTATTTTATAGTTTAATGAGTATCTAATCTAAAGACCACTACCTTCTAGACGCAATTTTATTACCAAATAATAAGGAATTCATTTTGTTGCTAAACCTCATCTATTAGGCTGGCGCAGATGTATTTTTAATACATTGTTTCCAGTTTAGGATGTTGAACGCTGGATCTTCTTGACTCAATGCGTGGGTATTGCTTGTGTCTCTATTTTTATGACTGGGCAACTCATTCTATTATCTCCTAATGAGGGTACAGCTCTAAAACTCAGTTTTATGGTTCTGAGGCTGGCTGGTAGTCAGGTTTCCCGAACTCTGTGGTAGCTCTCAGAGAGGCTGATTCCATCAACAGCCGAAAAATATCAGAGTACTAACAGTGCCATGTTGCGCATGGATGGTGTCCCTGTTTGTACTTTTGGTGTGCATTGCAGAGGCCACATTTGGAGCCCTTTGTTACGGCTTAGGGTTTATTAATAGTAATGAGGCTATTGCTTAGTTGTTAAATAGTGTACTGAGTACTATCTATACTTGAGTCAAGTTCTTTATAAATTTAAAATGACTAAAGTACCTAAAACTAAAAAACACAAAAAACCATCGTCATCACCAAGTTCTCTAAACCTATCATTTACTAATATTCGTGGTCTTCGAAGTAACTTTTCTTCTGTTGAGTCTTATCTCTTGCAAAGTTCACCAGACCTACTTGCTCTTTGTGAGACTAATTTGAGTTCGGCTGTCCCATCTTGTGATCTTAGTGTTGATGGTTATCTTCCTTTAATTCGTAAAGACTCCAATAATCACATGCTTGGCCTGGGCATCTACATTCGTAAGAACTCACCCATTTGTCGTGAAACTAGGTTTGAATCTACAGACTATTCATTTATGTGCTTTCGTTTAGCACAACTTCACTCTATCGCCTTTCTCTTAGTTCTATATCGCTCTCCTTCATCCCAAGATTGCACTATTCTTGATGTTATTTCTGATCAAATTGACCAAGCCCTCTCTCTTTATCCATCGGCCAATATCGTCGTTGTTGGTGACTTTAATGCCCATCACACCGATTGGCTTGGCTCTAGTGTCAGTGACTCTGCTGGCGTTAAGGCCCTCAACTTTTGCCTTTCTCAATCTCTAACTCAAATAGTCAACTTTCCAACTCGTTTTCCAGACAACTCTAATCATTTACCTTCTCTACTCGACTTATGTCTTGTTTTGGATTCTAGTCAGTGCTCAATTTCTCCACATTCACCCTTAGGTACTTCTGATCACGGTTTGATCTCTCTAAAACTATTATCAAATTCTTCTACTTCATCAGAATCCCCCTATCATCGTACCACATACAACTACCTTAAAGCTGACTGGGACTCTTTCCGTGATTTTCTTCGTGATGGCCCTTGGGTAGAAATCTTTCGTCTTCCAGCTGACAAATGTGCTTCTTACATAACTTCGTGCATTCAGGCTGGCATGGAATCTTTTATTCCCTCTCGACGATTCCAGGTCAAGCCTCACTCTTCTCCTTGGTTTTCCTCACATTGCGCTGCAGCAATTTCTAATCGAAACCTTTACTTCCATATCTATCAGCAAAACAATTCTCCAGAAAACAGACATCTGTTCACTATCGCCAGAAACCATTGTAAAAAGGTTTTGTCTGACGCCAAAGCTCGCTATTCCCAGGTCATTAAATCTCGTATCTCATCACAAAAATTAGGCTCTCGAGACTTCTGGAGAATCTTTAACAGTATCAATAATAAGGGCAAATCTGTTATTCCTTCTCTCTTGTATGGTTCAGACTTTGTCACCTCACCTAAAGACAAAGCTGAATTGTTTGCTAAGAACTTTTCATCAATATCATCTCTTGATTCCACTAGTTGCGTTTTACCTGACATAGCCGTCAAACAGGTTGATCCCTTGCTTGACATTCGCATCACTTCAGCTTCTGTATCTAAAGTAATTTCCTGCTTAGACTCTTCAACAGCTTGTGGTCCTGACAACATTCCTGTTGTAGTCTTGCAGAGGTGTTCTCCGGAGCTTTCACCCATACTTTCTAAACTATTTAACAAGTGCTTATCAGAGTCTTGTTTTCCATCATGCTGGAAAGCAGCATCTGTTATCCCTATTTTCAAAAATTCCGGAGAGCGATCTGATTCATCTAACTACCGTCCCATTAGTCTTCTTCCTGTCATAAGCAAGGTTTTTGAATCTTTAATCAACAAACACTTAATCTCTCATCTTGAATCAAATAACTTACTTTCTGATCATCAATATGGATTTCGGTCTTCTCGTTCTACAGCTGATGTGCTAACAGTAATAACCGATAGGTTTTAGCGTGCATTAGATAGAGGTGGAGAGGTTAAGGCTATCACACTTGACATTTCTAAAGCTTTTGATATAGTTTGGCATGCTGGTCTTCTCCATAAGCTTTCTTCTTATGGTGTAGCTGGTAACGTCTTTAAGATTATTGAGTCCTTTCTTTCCACTCGTAGTATAAAAGTTGTCCTCGATGGACAACACTCTTCTTCACATCCTGTAACTTCAGGGGTTCCTCAAGGTTCAATCCTTGGCCCTATACTCTTTTTAATTTACATTAACGATCTTCCAGATATTCTCACATCTAAGGTGGCATTATTCGCTGACGACACTACCATTTACTCTTGTCATGATAAGAAGCCTACACTCTCTGATTGCTTGGTGGGGGTATCTGAGCTTGAAAAGGATCTCACTTCTGCTACAGCATGGGGTCAAAGTGGCTGGTGAACTTTAATTCAGATAAAACTCAATTTTATTCGGCCAATCGTTATCGTAATAATTTAGATCTTCCTATATTTATGAATGGTAATGTACTAGATGAGTCATCTACCATTCATCTTCTAGGATTAACTCTTACTTCTGATCTTTCTTTTAAACCGTATATCAAATCCATTGCAAAATTAGCATCTGCTAAAGTTGCATCTCTTTATCGAGCTCGACACTTTCTTACTCCAGATTCTATTCTCTATCTCTATAAATCTCAAATCCGTCCCTGTATGGAATACTGTTGCCACATCTGGGGCGGATCTTCTAATGATGCTCTTTCTCTTTTAGACAAGGTGCAAAAACGAATTGTAAACATAGTTGGACCTGCTCTGGCAGCCAATCTCCAACCTTTGTCACATCGTCGTAATGTTGCTTCTCTTTCTCTTTTCTACAAATACTATAATGGGCACTGCTCTAAAGAGCTAGCGTCCCTTGTGCCATCTACTAAAATTCATTCTCGTGTTACTCGCCATTCAATTAAGTCTCATCCTTTTTCTGTGACTGTTCCTAAGTGCTTCAAAAACTCTTATTCTTCTAGTTTTTTTCCTCGAACATCAGTTCTTTGGAATTCGCTTCCTTCATCTTGCTTTCCTGATTCATATAATTTGCAATCTTTTAAGTCATCAGTCAATCGTTATCTTGCTCTACAGATTTAGTCTTTTCTCTTCCAGTAACTTCCAACTCTTATAGTGGTTGCTTGCAGCCTTGTTGAAAGTGAAGTTGTTAAAAAAAAAAAAAAAAAAAAAAAAAAAAAAAAACTTTTGACTGTACTGCATGAATACAATCCGTTACTTCTTTCATAACTTGAACTAATATCCTATATCTAATACCTTTTGTATTTTTAAATCTCTTTCTTAGATAATTAACTTTATGACTCATTTTCCCAGACAACATCTCTCCTTCCTTGTTTCCCAGACAACATCTCTCCTTCCTTGTTTCCCAGACAACATCTCTCTTTCCTTGTTTCCCAGGCAACATCTCTCCTTCATTCTTTGATTTTTGTCTTATCTCATGCCCTTTTGCTCAGTTTTTTCTTGTTTTACTTTGGGTATTTTGCACCATTTGTACAGATACATGATCACACTCACTAAAATATTTATCTTCTGCTTCTTCTACATTAGATTTCATTTCTTACTATTTATTTAAAGATGACTAGGATTCCCTTTGTTTCTTTATGATGAATCTGGAGCTGATATCTTTTGTCTTGCTTAAAATTGCATTTCCTAGATAATCTCCTGGATTCATGAAGGCATGGAAGCTTTTTTTTCTTGTTGTATCAAATCAAGTCTCATTCCCATGATTTATGTAATTTTTCATTTTAACTTTTTCTCAAGAAAAATTCGCAAAAAAATGTATTTTTTCATTGCAAGAAATATTTTTTATATATAATTTCACTGCATAATATTTACTACTGAAAGTATCATGCCTTTAAATACAATTATCATTTAAAAATATATGAATCATATTCTCTATTCAAGTTTAAAACTTGATGGTAGTGCCTAAAAAAACATCCTTACCATGTTTTATGTACATAACTTGAATTATGATTTCATAAAAATTTAAGAAGTTGTCAAAACCACTAAACAAAAAATAAACTCCAATAAATTTTTATCTCAAAAGTATTTGTTAAAGCTAAAGCAAATTTAAAAAATATATTCATAAACATTTCAATTAAAACTTGAGAGTTTTCAACAAAAAAAAATCAGTATTGCAGCGATTTTTTATCAAAATAATAATTGGAATTACATATTGTTGTCATAAATAATTATTGTGGAAGTATGTAGTTATATGCTTTTGATTGTGAAGATGCTTTTCAAACAATAGCAAAAAACTTTCATTACCCAAGGAAGACAAAAAGTTGGACAAATGGTTCATTATTGCGGAGATGTTGACAGGTTTAAACAAGGTTGTCAAATCTAACAGTTGATTTGTCAATTTGCATCTAGAAATATGTTTTTTTATAAAAATTTAAATGGTTAGTTTCATCAGTATAGAACTTGATTAAGAAAGTTGTATAAATTATATAGAAACCAGGCTTTGTCAGGAAGCGGGAGCGATCGCTCTTGATTGCTGACCACGGAAATAATATTTAGTTGCAAAAAGCTGGCCAGATTTTGTAGTCATTTTGAGAGCATTTCAAAAAGCAAAAAAAAAATGCACTCAAGATTATTTGGACCAACGAGAGACAATCAAAAAAAAAAAAAGAAGTTAGGAAAATAAAATATCTTTTAATGCGAAAAACTTTAGAACAAATATTTTCAAAACATCGCTCTTTTATAATTTTTTTATAAAATTAAGCGACGTTTTTTATATTAAGTAAAACATCTTACGATTGTTTAAAAAAGAAACAAATGTTCTTTGTTTAACAAAGTTTGCAAGTTTTAGTTTTATCTAAACTTAATCATTTTATAAATAAAAAAATTAATTTTTTAAATACCTATTTTATATTTCGCGTAGTTTGAAAAGTTAACATATTTGAAACACTTCTTCTTAGTAAGATAAACAAATAAAATAATTAAATCATTGAGTTACTATAGAAATTGAATTAACTAGATAGAAATCAACTAAAAAGGTTAAAAATACTTTATGATGAGGAAGCGAAACTAATTCACAATGAAGCTGATGATGTTTAGTGAGTGGGCTTTTTTATTTTAATTAGTATTTAAAGCAGAAAAAAATATAACAAGTTTTTAAGAATTTAAGTATAAATAATTAGTGTCTGTAAACCAATATCTAGAAACTTTTCATTATATCTAATAACTTGCTATATATATTTGTGTTCTGTCGTGACTTCAGTGTTTGTTCATCTGCCAGTTACTTTGTATGCATTGTTTGTGTTTAGTAACCAGAAACTTCTTATATGTTTGTTAAATAATTAGTTTTATTAACTTTAATGATTATTAATAATTATTTAAGTTATTAATAACTTCATTGAAAACGCAGTAATTTTTGTAAGTCTTTGTTTACAAATTAAATCATAAAAAATCATAAAAAGATTACATTACGATAAAAAACAGATACACAAAATTACATTTACATAAAAAATACATACTTTTTAAATAAAATATAGGAGTATACTAATAAAATCTATAATTTATAATAAACTATCAAAATTTTGACAATTTAAATAATATATATTTAAAACATTTATTTTTGTAAACAAATAATAATAGTTTAATAGCTCCGAGAATGAGCCGTAGTATTGATAATATATTCTTAAAGCAATTTATGCTTGAAATCTCAAAATGTAACAAATCGTGAATAATAAATCATTTCAACAGAATACCCTAGGACTTTATTTGAATTAGTCAGCGTATTTTTTGAACCAATAGAATTAGTTTGTTCGTTAATTTGGCGGGTTTTTAGTGTTTGTAAATATTCTTTTTATTCCGCACCTAGATGTTTTGAGAATATTTAGTTTTTCATGTTTCCATGTATGTTCATAAAACAAAAATATTTTGTTTCGTACATAAATTTAAATGTTCTAAAAATGACTAAAAAACCTGGCCAGTTTTTCGCAACTAAATATAATTTCCGTGGTCAGTATTCGAGAGTGATCGCTTCCCAAGCCTGAGAAACATATGTTGTTAACCTCTATACAAGTATTCCACATAATCATGATTCAATAGATGAATGATTTAAACCTGAATTTATAATTGAGTAAGCATCTTTTATTTAAAAAAATAAATTAAAAAAAAAATAATAATAATAATTTCATAATCAATTATTTCATATTTAATTCTTTCACCAAAATACAGGTACAGTCACAGGTATAAATTTTGCATCTGATTGTGTTTTAAAATTCAAGATGAGATATTAAAGGTTAGTTAAAGATTTAAAGACTTTTATTTATTTTGGGGGTTTTAAAAGGTTTTTATATTCACAGGAATCAACTCATTTTCTAAAATGACGAGATTTAGTAATCTGAGAACCATGGACCTTGGACATCTTTTTTGTATCTCAATCATGGACTATGGACATCTTTTTGCAATATTAAAATCGTGTTTGTTTTTCATAGAGTTTTGTGGATGAATATGAATATATATATATATATATATATATATATATATATATATATATATATATATATATATATATATATATATATATATATATATATATATATATATATATATATATATATATATATATATATATATATATATATATATATATATATATATATATATATATATATATATATATATATATATATATATATATATATATATATATATATATATATATATATATATATATATATATATATATATATATATATATATGAAAATTATGATTATGAGCAGCTGTACAAAATGAGAAAGTTATGGGAAAATTTTTGATTACTGATTTTAGAAAATTACGTCTGATCCCTGTATCTTTTGTACAGGTTAACACCTCTCCCCCCTCCTTCAATAAAAAGTAGGGTTGTGTTTTTGTATATTTTAGACCTACACTCTATATGTCCTATAGGATGTGGGCCCCTTATATGTTCTTTTTTAATTTCAAAATGCTTCATACGATCTAAAATGAAACGAATGTTAGAAAAAAATAAAAGTGCAGCATTTATGTCAAAAATGTTCTCAAATTATTTGAACAAAAGCTCAGATGTATTATAAAAGTTTCTTTGAAGATGAAGAAGACTTCTTTGCTCCTCATCCATTTATCAGTTACAGAAAAAAGTCCAAGCATAAAGAAACCCAGAAGTGATACAACTTTAAAAACTTTTCTTGTATCTAGTATTATAACTAATTTTCTAATAAATATTTAAACAAAATTTTTTAAAAGATTATTTAATTTTCTTTTTTGTAAGTAACGGGTGGAGTAAGTAACGGGAACCATCTGAATATTGTACAAAAAGATATATAAAGCACACAGATAAAGATAAGATATCACTGTTTGAGTCACAACATTCTAGTTATACAAAACATTTATTTTTAACATAGTTCTCAAAGGTTATAACTTATTATTATTTTATTGGTTAAAGGAACTGTACCCTGCGCTTGCCAAAAAGACCGTATCTAAAAAAAATAAAAAAAAATTGTGCAAGCTAACTTTGTAATTGTATGTTTTGTGGTTTAGAAACACATTAATTATTTCATAATTGCTACATAATTATTAAATTTTATTTATCATAGTTTGTTATTTGTTTTATCCACCTGTTGTAGATGTCTATATTAAATAAAATCCAATAGTCTCACTAGATTCGTGTTATGAAAAATACTTAATTATTAATTATGGGTAGTTAATCTGATAAATATTTTAAAAGACGTTTTTTATTAACAAAGGAAATTGGTAATAAAGTTACGTGAAGAGCTTGATCATACCCACATGATTAAACTTGCAGAGAGTGACAAATTACAGATTGCAGAACAAAAACTTCACGAATCTAGTGTGCTTGCTGAAAAATTTAAAAGTCAAAATATGAAATTGAGGTTAAATTTAGAAGAAACTAAAAACAAACTGTTAGGAGGTGTTTTTATGATATTTATATCCCAATTATTTATATTTGACGTTATAAATTAGATTCCTATATTTTTACATTTATGACGTTATAAATTAGATTCCTATATATGAGTTACATTTATTTTTTTTAGAAACCCATAAGCGACAACTCATTGAGAAAAAGTTTAATTACGATTCAACTGATGATGTTATTCCTGTTGGAGTTTTAAATGACGAACAATCAACTAAAAGTAACAATGACTTGCCATTTACTTTAACGAAAGGAAAAGAAATTTCAAATGAAACAATGTTTAAAAGTAACGAGATAACCAAAAACAAAAATAAGCAAAAAAATGACACTTCGTTTCAGTGGAATCTTTTACCAAATGCAGTGCTTAAAGAACTCGGAATAGACAAAAAGTTAATCTCTCAAAATAAAGAGATTGATTCAAAATCTGCAGTCAGTTTACATATAGGAAAAAATATTGAAAACACTATATCTCCTATTAAGGAAAATCGATTTCGCTTAGTAAGTTTTAAAGATGAGACAGAAATTATTCCTTCATCGCCGAAATCTGAGGTAAAAATTTTCAAATATAGTAAAGAATATTAATAATAATAATAGTATAAGTAATTTATAACGAAATTCTTAAGCAATTGCAAGCAGAGTAATTAATAAAACCCCACTGTGACGTCAGTTCTCTTTTTGTACTTAAAAAATAGGTTCAGTTGATTTTTAAAGGTGTTGACTGATGGGTTGTTCCATGCCAAGTGGTCCAGAGGTCCCCGCTTTACCATCTCCGATTTTAATAAAATTTTGTCAGTATGTTGTTAAACATGTTTCATGAACATTGCCAAGTTTTTAGATCAAAATGATTATTATTTTGGGTTTTGTGGTACTTTTTGTAAGGCTTACCCACACTTTAATATCATTCTGTAGCTAAAAATTGCATTTTTGAGGTCTTATATTTTTGTAATGAACTGGTAAAATATCTTAAAAACGTGGTTTCTTAGTAAACGGAAGGTGGAGATTACAAAAAAATTAATACAAGTTTCATATGATGCCTATATATTAGTCTATAGTTCACCAAATACTGTCACAAAATCAACACCATAAATTTTTTTGTTTTTTGTAGGGTCATATCTCCAGAACAAAAGGTTTTTTATGTATTGTTATTTTGTCTAAAGGTTATACGTACTATCATATTGACATGGAAAAAAAATCAGCTTTTTTATAAATATCTCTTCTAGGTTATTTTGAAAGCAATATAGCGAAAAAAGTGAAATACACTAAAATAACGTTGTGTTTGAACCCTTAAAACTGTGGGCAAAAAGGTTTTGTTTTTTTATTTGCATCGTTGAATAGACCTTATTTCACACTTCTAGAAACAATAAAAACTGTTTTGGAGAGATTTTTCATATGAACGATAAAAATTTGGTCAATTTTTACATTTTTTGAATTACATTTTTGTCTAAACATAAAGATTTATCATACATCAAAATCAAAGCTGTACCAAAAATCAAAATATTTTGATGTTCAAAAAATATTTTTTAACATTTGCTTTATTTGATGTACCAAAAATTTTTTGATATTTAAAAATAAAGCTTGTTGTACCAAAAATCAAAATTTTTTGATGTTCAAAAATAAAGCTTGTTGTACCAAAAATCAAAATTTTTTGATGTTTAAAAATAAAGCTTGTTGTACCAAAAATCAAATCTGTTTGATGTTAAAAAACTGGGCTTGTTGTGCCGAAAATCGGAATTTTTTGGTGTTCGAAGTGTTTGTTTTTTAACATTAGCTTGAATTATTTGAGTAAACAAATCACTTAAATGTAAGTCGCAATATTTGAAGTAAAAAAAACTGCAAATAAGTGCGTTTTTTTTTTTTTTGCTCATTCATTTTTGTGTATTTTGATTATATAATTATTTTAATACCAATGCTTTTTAAAAATAGTTAATCTCAAAAATGATAAAGAAGTTGATATTCATTTTTGTAGATGGTACCAAAAAAGTTTTTCCCTAACGACACCTTTGCAACCGTCAAACATTTAATTTTTTACAATAAGTATGTCTTAAAAAAGATTTCAAAAAATTAACAGTTATAAAAATATTGCGGATAAATGTATGTTATTGGCTATTTAAAATCCTAGTTTAGGCAACTGCCAACTAGGCAACTGACTATGGGCGCAAACCAAAAAGGAGCGCTTTTATTTTATTTTCATTGAAAAGTTATTTTTAGAGTAGATATGTATTTTTTCAAATTTTATTATGAAATTTTACGCAACGATTATTCAGATGCCTAAGAGTGCCATCAATCCAACAGCGTCACAAATGTGGTCCTGGTAATAGAAGCATAATCTAGTTAACAAGGTAACTTGATTATGCTATGTAGTTTTGGAAAAAATACTGATTTTACAACACGTTTTCTGCAACTGATTGGATTTGGAATGACTGCAATAATATGCTGCTCAGGTACCCAACAAGTGTCCTTGGTGCTAGGCCAGTAAAACGACTGAGCCATACCATGAGGATGCATAAAATCAATGAAGACATCTTCCCGTTTTTCTGAAAATTCACAAACATTTCCAATCCACCAATGTGCATCATAAATACATGCAACAAAATTTCCAGGACTAAGAAACAGACAGTGAAACTAATTTGGTTGAGTTGTTATAACTTTCATTAAGGTTTGCAATAAAAGATGTGTTGTTATTTGAAATTCGACTAATACAAACTTGATTTTCATTTACAGGTACAAGTTTGCGATTATCACAAGTATCAGCAACTGTGTTTCCAGTACTAAATCGTTTCTCTTGAATGCCTTTTACACTGTCTACTTCGTCACTGGCAACAAAGATAAATGAAATACCAGTGACACTTTCTTTGCAAAAATCATATAAATTTAAAGGCGTTAAAATTTGATTATTCATTGGCCGTTGAAGACCTCCAATTCCATCACAGCATTATAAGATCTTATTATCTTCTGAATTTAAATCATTACAGATTTACCATTTGTTCCTCATGTCAATTTACATTTTGCAAATCTCTTTGTAACCAGGATACAAATTATAACTTTAATAACAGCTCCTTGTCTAATGTTTTGATATTGTTGTTAAATTAGAATCCAAAATTAATTCTAATGCTTCTTCCGCTGTAAAACGTATTGTTTCTTTTTTTGGTGAAAATATAGTTTTTTTTTAATTTTTGTTGACCTTTGATAGATAGACTAAATAATCTTTTATAACTAGTACTAAATCACGTGTCTTTTGCTGACGCGCCAAACCTGCTGCTTGCAATATAGGCGATGTTTCGTGCGAACTATTTCGACATAACTCTGATGCTTCCAATCTTTTGGCCCAATCTGATTTTTTGTTGTATGATAAACTTGGTCGTTCAGAAGATTTTGATGGAGTTGACTGACTAAAAGATGTTGATGGAGTTGCATCATCAGTAAATCTAAATTCTCTTTTTAACTAATATGAATTTTTAGTTTTAAATTGGCCCATTGTTCTTTGACTATTTAATCATTTTCATTCAAAAGAATTGCACAAACGACAAATTTTCTTTTGAATATTATTATAACTACTTTTATATCATTTCAATTATTTTAATGACGTGCTCAAAAACATCTTAGTTTTTCTCATTTTTATCGTTCTATTTCGGCCATACATTAAATAAATCCTTATATTTGGAACAGTACATCACTGCAAACAACCAGATATATTTTTAATTGGGGCAACTAGGGGCAAGTTTTAAAAATTGGAATATATTTCAGAACGTTAACAAAATTCAATCGTGTAAAAATATTTTTGGAGAAATACGGAGATTTTTTTAAAAGTAAATTTAAAGTTTTGAAAAAAGTAATGGAAGAAGAAATACTTCTACATGTTTATTGTTTGTATTTAAATAATATAATAATGCAATATTTTAATTTAATTAAATATTTTTAAAAAGTATATATCTGTATAAAAATAATTCTTTTACAGAATTATTTATATTTATAACAGAAATTAATAATAATAATATATAAAAAGTTATGTATTATTAAATTAACAGCTCAATTTACGCTAACTTACTGTAAACTAAACTGAGTTAAAAATATTCTATGCTTTAGTGCATATTACAAACAAATTAAGCTATTAATTTAAAAATAGACCACGTTTATTATAACTTTGAAGGGTTTAATTTAAGGTAATACATAAAAAAAATTTTAAAAAACTTTAAAAAAGTGGGTTTCTGTCAAAAAACTGGGTCTCAGAAACCATAGCGCACAGGGAGATTTTCCATGACTAGTAGCAAAGAAATTTCACTCTGCTTTAATGCCATAGTCAGTGTAATGGTAACATAAATTCATAAAATTTTTAAAGTTTTTGTACTGTGCAGCTGAACTGTCACTGAAATAATGAATAAATTCAAAAGACAAATAAGTTTTAAGTTCAGCTATTAATTTACTAAGAAATACATAAACAGAAATAGTATCATGATGCATGCAATCACTTATAACACAATAACATGCACTTTTAAGTATGTCATTTAGTTTATAGTAGACAACAAAAGGATGCAAAGTTTTTTGGCTGTTTTCCCAGTAAAATCCATCAACAGCATCATCAAATTTCAGTCCCTGGACATTTATCGCAACGATGAAGCATACATACTTTGGGTTCAATGTCACAAACTATTTTTTCAATCAGACATTTATAGTCTACCGTAACTGGGCTGCTTGCAAGCATTAATTTTATATTTTGGTGAATAGTACATTCACAAATACGATGAGTACCGGACGATCTAACAGTTATACACCATTTTGGACGTAACTCACAGAATTTAGAAAATCCAACTTCAGCTTAATTTTCCTTTTTATACTCCAAAAAAAGTTCCTTTAAATTAACTAACAGTAATTTTTTTGCATGTGCACTTTTTTAGCACCAATGTGCACAGATACAAAGTTCTTTTTCCCTGGACATGTTCTGCTAAAAGCTTCATGTTCAAAAATTTCAAAAATTTTTCTTCAATATGCTCTGGCAACTCCTTTGCTGCATTTCTTTCTGGAAGTGCAAAGACTCCACTTTTCACCTTCAACTTTTTTGCTGCTTTAGCCATTCTCTCTGATACTTTGATTTCACTACATATTTTTATTCTTGACCAACTGTTTGGTATCAGATTTGAACTTTTTCACGTGGATTACTGGTTGTTGATATTTTATCCTTCAATTCTAGTATCAAATCTGACCAATCAATGCAATTCTTACACTCTACACTTGCACTGCCTAGTAGTACCCTTACGGAAAATTTCCATGAAAAAACCCATGAAAAAAAACCATGGAAAAACCATGGTTATTTGGAACACTTTTTCATGGGAAACCCATGAGTTTTCCATGGGAAATCCATGAGTTTCCTATGGGAAACCCGTGAGTTTTCAATGAAAACCCATGAGTTTTCCATAAAAAAACCTATGAGTTTCCCATGGAAAACTCGTGAGTTTTCATGGGAAACCTGTGAGTTTCTCATGAAAAATTCCATGAATTTTTCATGGAAAAGTGTTCCAAATACCATGGATATTCAATGAGATTTCCGTCCATGGAAAAAACCATGGAATTTCCATAGGTATTAGGAACACCTTTTCAAGGAAGACTCATGGATTTTTCATGGTAAAAAAGCATGATTTGTTTTCAAGTTTTTTTGATCTAATGTTATTTGAATTGTCATATTAAATCATAAAAGCAAATTTTATCACACTAATATTATTGAGTTCTCTTAATCTATGGGATCGCTTTCTCCGAATAAAATCAATAAACAAAATAAAATTTAAATCTTGTTAAATCCTACAAATCTTTGAAAAATAATAGCTATAATGCACCTAAGACATCAAAACTTGACTTCCCCACAATATTTAATGCATGCATATGTATAACATACTGAAAATAAATAAAACAAAAAAAGTAATATAATACTATAAGTGATATACATAGTGATAAACAATTGAAATATATCAAGAAAAAATTTTTTACAGAAAATAAAACAATTTACATGTTTATTATTTTATATTAACTATTTGATAAAAATAGTATATATAAATTTGATAATAACTTAAAGTTTTAACAAGTTAAAAAGAACCATCAATACAACATATTCAATCCAAAAAAACATCAAGCCCATTTATAAGTGCGACTGCACTGTGTCTGTAGAAACAGGTAGATGTCGAACAAAGTATCGTTCACATTTTGATATTCATTATTTTTTCACCGTAGTTAGTCTCATTCTCCATTTCACCAATCGAGACAATACATCATACAACTATTATATACATTCTAACTAGTTTTCTTTATTTACTGATTCATTTTACTAATAATTATTATCTATTATAACTTACTTTATAATTAGGCATTATACACAATTATCAATGTTGCCAAATGTTAGGTAACATTTATATAGAAAAAAGTAGCAATGAATATATCATTTTTTATAAATAACAATTATTAGATTATTACCTCTTTTTCGCCTAAGCTATCTGCATTCTGTACAACATCGTTTATATTTCCAGTCAAACATTCCTGCCTATAATGTAACTTAATTAAAATGATTTATTCAAACTAATACATATATAAATGTTACCTGCATGTTAGAAACATTTATATAGAACAAGTTTATAGAACTTTACATTAGTTAAATATAAACAAATAAAAATAATTGTATTATAATAAATAATAGTTTATTATTTATAAACATTGCTTTTATATGCTTATATTTAACTATGAAGTAAAATCTTGTGCATTAATTAACTTCCCTTTCAGATACTTTTAAAACATTACCACCGTTTTCCTTCTCCAACTAAGTGGTTCTTGGAACATCCTTACAAGTTGAATCCCAAAGATTATGTTTATATCTTTTCTGGTTAATTTAAACTCAATTCACCATTTTATTTTGACAGCTTTTGAACTATTTAAAAAAATATTAAATGCATATAAAAACTGACGATGTTATAAACAATATAAACGATGAACAACATTATTTATATTGCCAGTCAAACCTGTCAGCTTATAATGTAGTAAGTTAAATAAAATAATAATGTAAATATAAAAGAATTTATAAACAATATTTAAATTACATTATTTACATATTCTAATAATTCTAAAGAAAAAACAACAACAAAAAGACAAAAACAACTTAACAAAACTAAAATTGAATAGAAAATTTATCATAAAAAAACATTTTTTAATACTTAATGAACATTTACCATACAATTAACTTCAAGCATTTTTATGTAATCTAAGGCTATTATAAAAATATTTTGTACATTAGTTATCTAATCTTATTATCTTATCTCATCTTAGTTATCTAATCTTATCTGATATACTGCTTATATATTGATATTTTAGATAAGTTTGTTTAATATGTTAGATAATAGTTTTATAATAATAATTATATAAGTTTTAATGTACATTAGATTACATTATGTACATTAATACACTCGTTATTTAATGTAGATTAAAACTAAAGGTTTATTTGTTGTAAACCAAATAATAATTAATTGGCAAATAATTTGCCAAGTAAGCATTAAAATTCAAACTGGTTTACTTGACATACTTGCTATAAGCAAAGCTATTGGAAAAAGTTAAAATAAGTATATGCATAAATGATATATAATTAAATATAATTAAAAATAATCCATTTTATAATGCATTATAATATGATAAATATATCTAGATGTTTATGTCTGTATGTTTAGTTTGAATCGTATAAATATGATGCATTATAAAAAACATATAACTTATAGTCTTATTAAAGACAGAAAAACAGAAGAATGCAGTAAGTATTGTTTAATCAAGTTAAAAGTAATCGTAACTCTACGAGCTATGACGCCATCTTTAAAAGCGCATTCGTAACAACCATGGCGCAGCATAAGGTATGAAAAAAAAACCATGGTTCACCCTTGGAAGTTCCATGGGATTTCAATTTTCATGAAATTCACCCATGGAAATTCCATGGAATTTCCGTTTTCCATGGGAAAATCATGGTTTACTCGTGGGTTTTCCATGGAATATTTCCGTAAGGGTAGGGCATTATTATTTTGTGATAAACCACTAACAACAGCTATTTTTTTTTGCAACTGTTATTTGCACTTTCTGAATTTTACCTTTTACATAACTAGCATGATCTCTCTTACTAACACGTATTCTTAAAGGTGATATTCCGATCTCAGAAAGACTATTATTAGTTGTGTTAGTTGAACAGAATGTATCATCTATGTCATCATTATTGTCAATTTTTTCACTTGAAGACTTTGTGTTTCAATTAGCTTTGCGATAATTTGGACACAATTTTTGACCTGGACAAATAACTTTATTTGTTAACTTTGAAAGACAGTCTGCAGTCTCTAGGTCAATACATCTCAACCCTTTAACTGAGAAAGGATTGGTCATACCAAAAGAGTTTAAACAATAGCGCTGCAAATGAGTGTATTTAACCAACAGCAGTGACTTGTGGTGGTATCAAATTAAAGTAATATTTTTAATCAAATTATAAGTTCACCTGATAATTAAACTCTGTTCTTCGTTCGAAAGTTCTGAGCAAAATCAATAAAACCATTTTTTCCTGAATAAGTACTTAAATGACATAAACTTCGGTCAAATTTTCCAATACAACAAGTACTTAAGTTTTGTCAGGATAAATTTAAAATAACTCTAATTCTAACTTTAATTCTAATTTTCTAAAATTAAATTCTAACTTCAATTCTAATTTTCGTCTTACAATATTAGATGTTTTTGATAAACTTAGATATTTGAAATTAATTTAGAGAGATTTGTCCATAGAATTAAAATATACTTACTTACTAAAATTAGTTCTACATGGTTATAATTAATTTACGAACCTTAATATCGTTTTTAAAATATCAAAGACATATCAGACCTAACTTAGCTCATAAAAACTAGCTTTTTTTCAATCATAAGAAAAATCTCTCCAAAACAGTTTTTATGGTTTCTAGAAGTGTAAATAAGGTCTTTCCAACGATGCAAATAAAAAAATTAAAAAATTTTTGCCCACATTGAGTTTTAACGGTTCAAACACACGTTATTTTAGGGTATTTCACTTTTTTCGCTATATTGCTTTCAAAATAACTCAGAAGAGATATTTATAAAAAAGCCGATTTTTTATCCATATCAATATGATAGTACGTATAACCTTTAGACAAAATAATAATACTGAAAAATCTTTTGTTCTGGAGATATGACCCTACAAAAAACAGAAAAAGTTTACGATGTTGAGTTTGTGACGGTATTTGGTGAACCATAGACTAATATATAGGCATCATATGAAACTTGTACTAATATTTTTGTAATCTCCGCCTTCGGTTTACTAAGAAACCACGTTTTTAAGATATTATTCATTACGAAAATATAAGACCCCAAAAATGCAGTTTTTAGCTACATCAGTCTGTGATTGAAGTTTGGGTAAGCCTTACAAAAAGTACCACAAAACCCAAAATAATAATCATTTTGATCTAAAAATTTGGCAATGTTCATGAAACATGTTTAACAACATGCTGACAAAATTTTATTAAAATCGGAAATGGTCGAGCGGGAAAGATTTCGGAAATTGGACCGTTTGGCGGGGAATGACCCTGATACGATACAATAAAAAAAAGATGCAATAGAACTTAGAAGAAAATACCAGTCAGGTTCAATGCGATTCCAGAAGAATTCTCTTTGCGCACAATAAGCTACTGCTTGAATTCGAAATCGATGGCATTAGGTCGGGTGAATAAAAAAAAGCAACTGCTTTTACTTAGCATTTTTAGACTAACTGCTCAGCTTTACGTGCTTACGTTGCTTGAGCAATTTTGCTCAAATTTTTATTCATGTAAAGCTGAGCAATTACTCCAAAAACATTGAGTAAAAGCAATTCTTTTTTTTTTTATTCACCCGACCCAATTGAGAAAAAATTTAAAAATAATTAAGATTAATTAGCATTTAAAATAAAACTTATAATTAATCATCTTTTATTTTATTGTCGTTAAAATTTTCAAAAACATTTTTGCAGGTTTCAAAAGAGTCGCTTGAAGTTATAGAAGAAAAAGAAAACTTTCAGAAAAAAGTTTTTTCAGAAATTGAAGAAAAGTCTTTGAAAACTTTTCAAGAAAAAAAGTTGCATAACGAGGAGGATTGTAAGCTACAATAATTGTTTTCACAACAAACCAATCATATTGTAGTTTTTAAAATTTCATCGAAAAAATGTAGTACAGTTTTTTTAATATATTATATCTTTTGATATCTTTATAACTTTGTTTATATCTAACCAAACATTTTATCTAATAAGTTATCGAATGTGCTGTATTTATTAACATGTTTGTATATGTGAAGCATGAATTAATTTTGAAAAAAGTATATAAGTGTATTACTTTTTATTCCCACAAAAAAAAATGCATTTAAAAGTTAAAAATTAAAAAAAAATTCAAATCTTTAAATAGCAATTTTTAAATCTTGTCAATTTTTGTGTCGTCAGTTAATTTATTATCAATTTATTGTTGATCAATTGCTGTTTATTTAATAGTTGAAATCTATTTTAAAGGAGTTTGAAGAAAACTTTTGGTGGTTTAAAATGGTTGAAGTTGTCTGCAGTTTTATTTGTTAAATATCTTGACAGTTGATGACAGATTAAGTTTTCTGCAGATGTTTTTTTTTCTGCAGGAAATTTCACAAATTTGAGTCTGATTTCTTATCTCTCCAAAAATTTGAAGTTTCAGTTGTCAATATTTTAGTTATTACTATCTAAAGTATTTCAAACAATTTAAAGTATTATTTTTTAGTTTGATATTTCTTATTAATATAATAAGTAGGGGAGAGTGGGTCACCATGAAACAAAGCAATTTTACAGCGACATTAAAGTACCGTGACAAATCCTTTTGAGTTGTAATCAGTTACTACTAGGTGTATTGTCTAACGTCTAATTCAAATCGGAACATGTCAATAATATTACGAGAGGTTTAAATTTGTGTTTTTTCCGTTGCAAAGTAATTTATAAATTTTTGGAACTGTTGCGTTTTACGGTGTTTTATTCACTGTATCCTTCGGAAAGTCTTTCTTTTTTGTAAACTATATTTCATGATGTCTAGAGTTTGGCAAAGACATTAAATTTCCCGGCTGGAAATATCGACTTCTATACTTTAATGTTTCACCTAACTTGGTAAAAAATCGGTGGACCATTATATAAAGTTTATGTAGTAAAAATAAATTTTATGTTATTTAGTATTTATGCATGTAGTATGACGATGTACTTATGTAATTATAAAATTAATTTTGTCTTATAAACATAAGTTACAAAAGTTTACATAAATATAAGTTTGCCTTATTATCAAGATGTTAACTCTTTTTTGTTGAAGGATTAACATTTAATTTGTTTTGTCAAAACATTCAATTTGTTTTTATACTGGTTTCTATTAATATATAAAATTTTTTGATGTAAACTAAAGCTCAACGTGGTATTAAATCATGATATGACCATGGTATCAAATCATGATATGACCATGGTATCAAGTCATGATATGACCATGGTATCAAATCATGATATGACCATGGTATCAAATCATGATATGACCATGAATTGAATTTTTATAGAACTCTTTGTTATTGCTTTAATATTTTTAGATAAGAATGAGGAGAAGAAAAATTAATAAAGGAACCTTCTCGAGTAACTCAATGGAGGTAGCTGTTGATTTAGTTTTATTTAGAGGGTGTTCATTAAGAAATGCGGCAGAAAAAATGAATCTTAATCACAGAACTCTTTGCAGGTAATTTATGCTTATGTAATTGACGTTGTGTTCTACAGAGCATTATTGTATCATCACAAGGAAAATGTAGCACGGTAAGCCTTGAAAAGCGTGATTATTTATTTTTATTATTTTTATGACTTCAAGTGCAAAAATGGCTTCCGACAGCCTTGGATTGGAACTAAAAAAAAACTTATTGGCGATTACGTAAGTGGAATGTCACAAAAAAGTATTTGTGATAAATATCGCGTGAAAAAATAGACCGTATCAAGACTATGTTCCAAATATCGTTCTACGGGGAAGTTGGCAGCAGATAAGAAAGGTGGAAGACCGCGTTCCACCACTTCTAGAGAGGATTCTATGATCGTCAGATCCGTCAAAAAGGATCCCTGGATATCATCAGTCGAGATACAAAAGCAATTAGAGCTGCCTGTATCGGACCGAACAATCAGACAACGTGCTGTTGAAGCCGGAATGTTTCCTCAACGCCCTGCAAAGAAACCGCTGATTTCACTAAAGAACCAGAAGAAAAGACTCCTGTTTGTTACATCTCATATTGACTGGAATGTGCAGAAATGGCGAACTGTCCTGTTCAGTGATGAATCGAAGTTCAACATCATTGGAAGCGATGGCATTTGCCGTGTACGTCAACCGCCCGGAAAACGCCTCAATTTACGTTACTGCCATAAGACCATGAAGTATGGTTGAGGCAATTTAATGGTCTGGGGGGTTTTTTTAACGAACGGTCTAGGTCCAATACATCGAATCGATGGAATAATGGATCGTTTCATGTATAAAAATATCTTGAAAGATGTTATGTTACCTCATGCTGAATGGAATATGCCAATAAAATGTGTTTTTCAGCAAGACAACAATCTGAAACACACTGCAAAAGTAGTCAAGCAGTGGTTTCAAGACAACCACCTATCGGTGATGGATTGGCCGCCTCAATCTCCGGATCTCAACCCTATCGAGAACCTGTGGAAGATCGTCAACCGCAGAATTATTCGTGAAGGTGTTCGTAATAACGATCAACTGTTTGAACAAATCCAAAAGGCCTGGGCAGCGATTCCACAAAGTTTCATTGATCACCTGATCGAATCTATGCCTCGAAGATGCAAGGCTGTGATCGACAACAAAGGGTTCGCCACAAAATATTGATAGCGAAACACAATTTGGTCAACATTTTGTGGAGTTGTACTTGTTTTGTCCTGAAGGAAATCAACTTTTTTTTATACTTTTGATTAATTTATTAATTTTTGTGTACAAATAATGAACTTTGTGATGAATAAAACTTGTTGATCGATTAAAACAAAAAAAAAGTTCGACTTTTAAAACTATACTCTTCTTAAAATACGATTTATCAAATATAAATTAAATGACTAATTTATAATATATAACTCTAGTTGTTTCTTTTTTTTTTTTTTATCCTACAATAACTTATTACTGTTTTTAAAACATTTTATATTGAAGTCATAAAATAAAATTTGTAAAATTTTTAGTATATATATTTATATTTTTAGTATATATATTTATATTTACATTGAATATATTTGAATTACCGAGTACTTCATAATTTGAAAACCGAGCAATAGAAAAGTTTAGTTTTTGGGTTGGAATGGTGTTGATGAATTTTGGTATTGATCGCTCTCATTATTACAGGATGGAGTGAAAAAATTTTAAAGCCAAACAAGAATGGGGACACTCTTGGCTCTTCAAGAACTTCTTGTTGAGAAACTTGAACAGACTGACAGTTAAGATTAGGCGTCTTTTAAAAATCGCTTTTTTAATTTCTTTAATCAAACATCCATAAATATAACTTTCATCCATTCTGCAACTCGTCTAATAAAAATTCCAAAATCTTTTCTGCAATGTTGAATAGTTGCTACTAATTTAGGAATGCTCGCCTCTAATTAATCAGGCCATTTACATTCAAATGCTTGAAGAGATCCTTGTGGCCGCATTCTGTGCAAACACTTGCTCCATCCATAATTTGACTATAGTGATTTTGGTCAGGATCAATGCCGAAGACCATAATTGATGATTTTGCATCCTCAACAACTTTTTTCTATCACATTCCCATTTTGGTCATATCTTAAAATACATGGAAAATGAAAAAGAAAAAGCGTCAATTTTGAAGGATTTCAATTTTGAAAACCTTTAAAGTCTCATTTATTCAAAAATGTTGCAACTCTTTTCTCATTAAAAAAAGCAGCAATTTCTAATTTTTTCAATATTTTTCAGGAACCTTGGTTTTTTTTCTTGGTATTTCAAGACCAAGATTCCAAGATTGAAAGATGACCAAAATTTTCTAGTTAGAGATCTGAAAGTATAATATAATTTTACATGAATTAAAAATAGAACGAAAATTAAATAAAACATAAATCAAACAATTTAATTATGTTTCCAAGAGTAACTGGCTAGCAAAATGTATTCTTAGCTTGTCCGTTATTAATACAACTAACTCTGATCTCACATACAGATACCTAAAAGTATTAGCGCCACTTTTTAAAACAATATTATCTTTATTTTATGTTTTGCGTAATTTTGTTTCAGTAAAACTTATAAAGTTTAATATAAAATTTTTTTCTTATTACTTTTACAACTTATTTATACTGCTTGCATATTTTTTATTTTAAAGTACCTCCACAGTATATCCAATATTATATCGTTTTTAATGTAGAACAGCATCCCTCACAACCTAATCATTCACTTTCCATACGCTTGAATAACTTTTCAGATATTTTTACGAAGAATATATCTAAATTTTTTACGGAGAATATATCTAAATGTATTTCGAAGAATATATCTAAATGTATTACGAATAATATATCTAAATGTATTACGAAGAATATACCTAAATCATTTAGATATATTCTTCGTAATACGTTTAGATATATTCTTCGTAAATCATTTAGTAAATGTATTATGAAAAATATATCTAAATGTAAACTCATTCTTTGTCAAAATATTCTTTTTGGCATTCACTTTATCGAACAAGAAAATTTTGGAATGTTTGAAAACCATTCATACCTGAAGCAAGTAACAACATCTAATGTAGCATGTAAATTGCATGCAAGTTTTTCCTCAAACTTAAATAAGATAGTACATAGTTGTTTTTATTGCAACCTTTTTGTTAGAACAAGAGAACATATTTATATTTAGTTCACGAGGATAAAAGCATGTTTTGGAGTACTTTATGCAATACCAAAGAAGAAAATCTTTCTTTTCAAGAGTTCTTTTAAGTCTATTTGTAAATTGTTCTTTTTCTTCCAAAATTTCATTATTGATGCAGCGTATAACCTAACTTTTTTCTAGTTGTATATTATACTTTATAATTAAATTTTTCAATTGTTATGTCTAAATCACTGTTAGAAACGTTCAAACTTTTTCCTAACATTAAGTGCAATATTTTTTTGCTATGCTTAGTAGTAAATTCGAAAAAAAAGAAACTTTGTTGTGCTGCAGAGATGAAACCGATCCGAATCCTTCATCTGTGCGCTTCAGAAAATATTTCTTTAAAAAGATGTTGAACTACTTACTTTTAATTGCAAAAATGTTTTTTAAAGCATTCTACCTTATTTCAAAATGAATTTCGTTATCATTTTTCATAAAATTTGAACATTTTGTAGATTTAATTGTAACTTAATATTTGTAAATCATATTTGCTTTTTTAATATATGTTAGGACCATGTAGTATTACCATTTTAGCATGAATATATTTTTATAAAACCTAGCGCATATGCCGCAATGGATCATTTTGTAGGAATACTACAACATATTTTTAATTTCAAGCCTTTATTTATGAATAGGTATCGCTTAACTTTCCCAGTGGGCAAAGGACGTAAAAAAGACGTCGTTTTTGCCTCGCCAAATAAAGTGATTTCTTTTTTTTTTAAATATATTTTTCGTCATCTTTATCGGGTGGACACGGAAAAATCTGGTCAACTTTAAATTGAGATTTCTATAAAACCATAAATGCTTTTTATTTCAATTTTTTTATTATTAAATGTGTTTACATAAATTAGAGTTTTAACTTAATTTTAAGGGGCTTGATGGGTTGCTTGGCAAGAAATCGAACTTTATAGCGGGTTGATGCCATCATTTTACAGATTTTTTCTTTTTTCACCATATTGGTGGTATTAATCCACTTTTTTTGGAAGTCCTTTTTATAATTTTTACTCCACCTGTCTTACGAAGAACTCCATTAAACTATTGCCCAAAAATCTTCAATCTTGCGCTCTTCAGGACGATTTGGAGGATTCGCATCTTTAGGAACAATTTTTACATTATTATCTTTGCACCACTGTAAAACTTTTTTAGAATAGTGAGAGGCAGCAAGATCGGGCCAAAAGAGACATCGGTATTTGTGTTTTTTTATAAAAAGCAAAAGTCTTTTTTGGAGGCATTTTTTGATGTAGAGATTGGCAGTCAAGGTCTTTTTAGTGACAAAACAAGAGGACTGCATACCACAGCTACAAATTGCTTGCCACATAAGGAACTTGGATGCAAATTTTTCTCGTCGAATATATTTAAATTGATCATCGACAGTTTTATCTTTGTTTTCATAGTAAAACTGTTGACCAGGAAGTTGTGAAAAATCCGGCTTGCAATACGTTTCGTCGTCTTCAATTATGCACATATTCTTATCAGCCATTATTTTAACCAACTTCTTTGCGCGTCGAATTCTTTTAATTTCACAATTTAAGCTTCTCTTAGGTGTATTTTTTTATGTAATGCTTTAATTCCAGAATTAAGTACTTTTTTGATATAAGAACGAAAAGTCTTAAATTTTCTTGCTAGATCTCGCTGTGACTGATTTGGATTTCTTGCTATTGAACGTAAAATCGACTTTAACTTTTTTAGGATTTATGGAAAGTTTTTTTTCTTCCACTTCCAAGTTTTTTTTCTTCCACTTCTAATATCTATGACTGTAGATTTTGGGACATTTGTGCGTTTAGCAATCAAGCAATAGGAAGTCGATGGATTTTTGCAAAAAAAATTCACAACTTTTTTACGCACCTCAACTTGTTTCCAAAACATTTTGCAAATCATTAATTTGTAAACAAAAATTTATCAACACCATTTAAGATAAGGAAGTAAAGTTTAATTAAAAAAAAAATTAAATAAAAAGCATTTGTGGTTTTGGAGAAATCTCAATTTAAAGATGACCGGATTTTCCGTGTCGACCCGATATAATAAATTATTTACAATATTTTTTTGAATTTTAAATAAACTTAAAATAAAAAAATAAAATATAAAGATAAGTAATGATGTAAAGGATGATGTTGCTATTTAACGAACGAAAAAGTTTAAAAATAAAACAGAATAAAATAGTATTTGAGATACGTCATAATCAAGAAACTGTTTATTTTAAGATACTTTTAAAAGTTAGACATGAAGTTGTAGTTTTACTATTATTTTGGAGGAATAAGTTCCACAAATGTGGCCCTCGGTAAGTTATTGAGAATTCGGATTGTTTTAGCAAAGTTTTTGGTACCTTATAATTAAGCAACGAATGCTTTGTTTGATATTTATTTTCTATAATAAAGAAAAGGTCTTCAAAAATATTTGGCAGCATTTGATATTTTAATCTAAACATGAATAAGAGAATATTATAAATAATTAATTGGTAAACATTCAGCACTCCGAGCTTTCTAAGCAGTGGATTGGCACTGGTGTATTTAGTAGCATTTAAAAAAAGGCGGCTTGGTTGTTTTTGTTTTTTTTAAGATACACGTTAGTCTTGACGGATAAGTGCTTGCCCATGCAATGTTGCAATAACTAATACAGCTATGAATAAATAAAAAGTAAATGGATTTTAAACAGTTTTTATCCAACATATATCTAGTTTTATATATAAATTTAAAGGTATATACATGATTTAAAGGTAAAAAAATTTTCAAAAAACGTCAAAGTTTTATATACCTAAAGTTTTATATACTGGTTCTTGAAAAAATGGCTCTTAAAACGTCATAATCTATTGTGGAGTTGTTTAATTTTGGTAATATTTTCTTTAAAATATTAAATACTTTTAAAATATTAAGTGATTTTTTATAAATAATATAGCCTCGGTTAAATTCAGTTTGTTTTAGTTGAAACTCTCCATCCTATCAGAAGCAATGTCAGTGGAATTCTGCATAATATTTAAAAATTACATTAAACCACTATATCTATTTAAATTCGTATAATAAGTGCTTTAGGATTTTTATTTTTAACAAAAGTTATTTTTAGTATGTAGCCAAGTATTTGCATAAATGAAAAATGTTTTGCCACTTCTACTGGGTTACAGTTGAAAATTTTAACTGTGTAATAGTGTAATTATAAATTTAATAATGCAGCCATGGCGCAGTGTTTAGAGCGCTTGCTTTTACAAGCGGGAGATCCAGGTTCGAAACGAGTTTTGGACATATTTCGCGTCACGGTAAGGAAGGAGGCATGAATTTCCTGGTTAAATGCACTTCCGCGGTGCTCTGTAACAAGACCGTTAGGACTTCTTGGGGCACCTAAATAAAAAAAAAAAAAAAAAAAAAAAAAAAAAAATTGGTTTACCGTTGTTTAAACATATGGAGAGTTAGAACAAAATAATTCTAACCTGATAATTTGTTAAGGCTTTCAACTATAAGTTATGTGATTTAAAAAAGGTCAAGTCATTTTTTTCTGGCTTCTGTTTTTTTCTTATAATCTTTACGTTTTCAAAACCTTCCTTAGTCTTTTCTTAGCATTTATTAAAACCTACAAACAATTTTGTCTGAAGAAATTTTGCGTAGTTACAAACAGCTGTAATTTTCGCTAATTCTTTAAAAAAAAAAACAACCTCAAGAATAAACTTTTAAATATAATTTAGTGAGTAAAATATAATTTTTGAAAGATTCATTTTTTACATTTTTTTCTTCATAAAAACTAAACAACTATTTTTCACTAATAAAAAATGACTTTTTATAAACAATATTTCGTTGAGTGCACAATATCGTTGTTTATAACAACACAAAACTTTTCTTAAACAATAAATGATTTTGTTTACATTATTAAGAAATAACAAGTTTTCAATATAATGATTTTCTTTAAAAAAAAAAAAAAAATTTCTCACTCTGCACGGTGGAATAATTACGGTGAAATCCCGTTTTGGTTATCCTGTGTTCGAGTTGACGGCATTAAAAAAACGGTAGTATAAAAACTTTATTTTCAGCGTTTTTTTGTCTCGATAATGTTCTGCTATTGTGAATAATGTTTGAAATAATAAACTGGAGCTCAATATAGACCTAAAATGGCTTTTAGGGGCTTCAAAAAAGCAATTAATGATGCAAATTTTTCAGTAAATATCTCTTCTAACGGTACAAGATCGATCGAAAGACGTTTAAGCGAAGGTGGATTTGAAAATCGACGTTGTTATACAGATGGGTTTGAAAATAAATCTAATACATCAAGTTATCGTGGGTCTGGTTCAGGTGAAAATTACATTTATTAGTATAATACATGCATAAAGTTGCTGCAAAAGTTTATAAAAATTTATATTTAAATCAAATAAAAAATATAATGCTTATAGTAATATATAGTAAGCATTATATTCTTTATTTGATATTTAACTATTTGATTTAATTTGATTTTACTTATTTGATATATATATATATATATATATATATATATATATATATATATATATATATATATATATATGTAATTTTATTATTTATATATTATATATATATTATATTATATATTTATATATTATATATACATTATATATATATATATATATATATATATATATATATATATATATATATATATATATATATATATATATATATATAATGTAAATTACTTGAATGAAATGTTTGATTTTAGGAAATAATGGTGGTCGTTGGAAAAGAGGAGGTAGTTTTAATAATAGAAATGGTGGTGGCAGAGGATATGGAAAAGGAAATTTTAAACCAAAGCATAGATTTGTTGATGATGATGATGATGGGGATGCAAGAATGAGAGATGAAGAGCATTTACATCGCAGTAATTATGGTGGCAGTGGATTTGGAAACAAAGAAAGAGATAGAGATGAAAGTGATTGGTTTAAAGTTGTAGTGCCAGAAGGCAAAAAACATAATCGAGACTGGTTGCTAAACAAAATCAAGCAAATAGCAAAGGTTTCCTTTGAAGAAGTTGACTACCATACTTTTAAAGATAATATTGTTTTTTTTCTTAAAGGCCAAATGATTGCAGACGCTGTTCAAAGTGCAAGTAACATTGTCACTACTAAAGATGGGTCAAAATTGTTTTTTACTGTACGGCCTAGTAGACCTCCTAACAATAATATAAATAAAGACGAAAAAAAGTCTTCTAGCAATACTTCTGTTGAAACTTCACCTGAAAAGTTAGAAGTCTTAAAAACCTTTCTTGGTAATCGTTATGATGTTAAACTAGTCAAGTTAGATTTGTCTAATATTTCAAGTGAGAAAATTCTTTTTGAAAATCGGATAGAAGGGCATGCTGGAAATTTTAAATTTATGAACACTATATTTACTATTATAAATTCTATATGCCCTCAATTAAAATCTTTAGATTTGTCACATAATGGTATTACAAGATTAAACACTCTTGAATTTTTAGCAGATAAGTGTCCAGAATTAGAGGAGTTAAATTTGTCAAGAAATCAAATTCGCTTTTCAGGGGAATTAACGAAAATTGCTTCAAACAAAAAGTTAAAAAGGTTGTTTTTAAATGATAATCCATTTTCAGACAATTACAAGTCAGACAATGTTGCCTATATAGCAGAGATTCGCAGTAAACTACCTGATATTGAAGAGTTAGACGGTGTTGTTTTACCAAAAACTATTAAATGTGACTTACTCTCAGAATCTGTTATTCCAGAATCAAAACCAGCTTATACTGAAAACCAAGATGCATTAAAATTGATAGCAACATTTTTAGAAAATTATTATAAGATATATGATTCTAGTGATGCAAGTTATCGCCAACATTTATTAGGAGCATATCATAATGATGCGGTGTTTTCTATGTCTTTAAATACAGGAATATCTTCAAGTAGCAAAAGTCATTCGTTGAATGATTATGTCAAAATAAGTAGAAACTTGCGACGAATACGTGAACGAAATATAAGACATCAGCTTATTAAACAATCAAAACTTGCTGTTGTTGCTTTTTTAACTGAGCTGCCAACAACAACACACAAATTAGATTCTTTTGTTCTTGATATACCTGTTGTGACGCCATCATGTCTTGTATTCACTATTCATGGAGTTTTTTTGGAAAAGAAGTTGAATATTTTGAGAGGTTTTTCTAGAGTTTTTGTTAGTGTGCCTGAAACAAATTCCCAGTTTTTAATTATAAATGATGAACTTCACATTAGAAATATCACTGATGCACAACTAGCTAAGTTCGAAATAAAACCAATTGAGACAAAAGAGCAAGAATTGTTAAGTGAGACAAAACAACAAGAACTAATAAAACAGTTTTCTTTGCACTCTAAAATGAACTTGAAATGGTCTTGTGATTGTTTAGTATCAAATGGATGGAATTTTGAGCAAGCTGCTACAAAATTTACTGAACTAAATAATTTGGGAAAAATTCCACCAGAAGCATTTGTTATATAATTTTTATTAAATCATATTATATTTCTGACTGTAAACTTGTTTGTTTGAATTGGTATTAGTAGTTGAGAATTTTTTTTTGTTTGTTTTTCGTAATGTAATGTACATGTTTACTGCCACCTTAAATTATAGATTATATAAACCTTAATATATAAATTCAAAAATATATAAATACGTATTTTAAATTTAAAAAACATTTAATTATGACTTATTTAATAAACTTTTTTTAAAGTTCTCTTTTGAAAAAAGTTTTTTAAAAAAGAGAGTAATATTTTTTGATATTAATAAAAATTTCTGCCAAAAATTGTGTAAAAAAATCCTGAAAAATAAACTTTTTCTTGAAAAAAGGTTTAATTCAATAAATTCTAAAATAATTTAAAAACACTTTTTACAAAATTTTTAAAAATAAAAGTTTTGAATTAAACATCTTTTTCTAGAAAATTCTTTTATTTCTTACATGGATTTTAAATGCTTGAGAATTACTTAGTGGTTTTATTTAAGTTTGTATTTTTTAAAAACTTATATGACATTATATGGTTGTTTAATTTTTTATTTAATTTAAGTTTTACACAAATTGATTAATTTTACTACATGCTTGAAAATATATTTATGGAAACATTCAGGATAATGAAGTTTATTCATATAAAATCAGTATAATAGTTTTGAAAAATCTAAAAAATATGGATTAAAATTTAGCAATATGTAAAAAAAATTTCAAACAGCTTTTTTCATTATTATATTTATTATTAATTTTTTTTCTTGATCTAGAAAACTGTTAGGGTTAAAACCAGTATTTTAAAACATGTTGCAAATACTCAAGCTTTTAAATACTGGCTTTTAACACTTCAGTTGCAGTTGCTTTAGCATCGACAGTTTTAAATACTGGCTTCTAACACTTCAGTTCCAGTTGCTTTAGCATCGCCAGTTGCACCTAAAAATACAAGTTGGCATTAATCTAATTATTTAACAAATTTGTACCTTAAAATATATTCTTTTAAAAACCTTTAGTTGTAATAATAATGTCAACAGACAAAGAAACTAAAATAGAAATATGCTGTTTGCTTGAGAATTCAGAACGTTGTAAGCGTGTATCAGGGAATGCTAGCTTCAACTTTCGTGTTCAAAAACTTGTGGAACAAAGAAAGCTAAAGTTTTCACTTGACCAAAATGTGAGTTGTTTATTTATAAATTATTTTATATATTTAAGTTTGTGTATAAGATTTTATTTAAATTATTCCAGGCAAGACATAGATATATATGCGATTTTCACAAAAACATTATAAAGAAAGCAAGAAATAAAAGAAAAAGAAAAGATTCAGATGAAGAAAATGAAAGCCCAGAGGTTTGCAAGCAGTTTGTTACAAATATTACACAGTTTAATGAGTTTTTTCTTTATATATATTATTAAAGTAAAAAGATTTTATTTCTTAGTCTTATTTAGGAATTTTTTTTTTTTTTTGGTATCAGTTTTTTTTTATTTATTTTGAAAAATCAGCTCATGTCAAAATCTAAGATACATTCAAATTGATTGCCTCATTTTTAGAAAATGATTATAAGGCATATAATTTTATTAATTCAAATATTGCCAAAATTTATTAGCAACATATGATAATTTTTGCTATGTTTTTTATATTATTAAGTACAAAAATATTTTCAAATAATAAGTTATTTATTGAATCAAAATCATCAGAAATTTAAGACAAATGTGTAAACAATATACAAACATTAGGTTGCTAATAAATAAAAATTTGTCATTCTGGCATTTTTATTTTTTAAAAGGTTTTTTAAATGTTTTTATTTGTATTTCTGAAACAAAAAATTCATAGTTATATAAACAGCTATTTAAAAATTTCATAGTTATATAAACGGCTATTTAAAACAACAGAACTATTAAAATTAAATGATTTATAGCAAGAAACATAGAGCAAGAAACAGAGAAGCATAGATTGAATGATTAAAACAATAAATATAGAACTGAATAAACTGTCATTTAACTAAGTGTATTTATTTTCATTCCTCTTAAATTTCCACATGTTACCATTAGGAATCAAAGTATTAAAAAAAAGAATTCAAACAAACCACCTTTGTTAAGTGATCTAAAAACTTTTTTATTCATTGTGGGTATTTTGGTATATTTATGCACATCTATCACACTTTAAGAACATATTAAAAAGTTAAGAGAGTTTGTTTTGTTTTATCTTTTATACTTCTGTTTTACTGATTTAAGTGTTTATTCAGCTGATTTTCAAACATGTTAATCAAAATCACGTCTATTACTGTTTGCGGCATTGTATTTCTCTGTGACATAATCCAGGTTAGGTCAGTTTCAGGATCATCACGATCACCCTGCTACTGGTATCATGTAACCCAGTACTGCCTTCCCTATTCCTTGCTGCTTTTTAGGGTTTGTTTTTTTAGGCAAAGGCTAGGAGAAACAAATTCCTACTTAAAAATCCCCTGCCTTGGGACTCTTGGCTGAGTAAAATCTTGAGATGGTGTGATAAAAATACTCATTTTGCGCAGTTGTTAACTGCATCCAGCTACTATCTTGTAGAAGACCTCCTAAGTAAAGACTTAAGGGATAAGCAGAATAATTCTGCTGACCAGTCTCAACCCCTAACTTTATCTATTAGGCTGGTGTAGATGTAAACCTGTGTTGTTTTCTCCTAGGATGATGATTGCTAGATTTTCTTGACTCTACTCATAGATTTTTGCTTGTGCCTTCTTGATAGTGACTATGTAACTCTTCTCGTTATCTCCTAATGAGAGTACAAGCCTCTGAAACTCTCATTATGTCTCTGAAACTCAGTTTAATGGTTCTGAGGCTTGCTAGTAATAAGGTTTCCCAAATTTAAAAAGATGCAACTTTAGCATCTTTGCTAGATGCAATATTAGTATTCTCGAATTCAAAGAAATGTAACCTTAGCATCTGCTTTATCCTGTTCACAACTTTCTTACTCAGGACTCTATTCTTTATCTCTATAAATCTCAAATCTATCATTGTTGGAATACTGTTGCCATATCTGGGGCAGATCTTCCAATGATGCCCTTTCTCTTTTAGACAAAGTGCAAAAATGCATTGTAAACATAGTTGGACTTATTCTTGCAGCCAATCTCCAACCATTATCACATCGTCATAATGTTGCTTCTCTTTCTCTTTTCTACAAATATTTTAATGGACACTGCTCTAAAAAGCTTGGGTCTCTTGTGCCATCTACTAATATTCATTCTCGTGTTACTTGTCATTCAATTTAGTCTCATCCTTTTATTGTTCCTAAGAGCTCCAAAAGTTCTTATTTGTCAAGTTTTTTTCCTTAAACATCAGTCCTTTGGAATTCACTTCCTTCCTCTTGTTTTCCTGATTCATATAATTTGTAATCTTTTAAGTTGTCTGTTAATTCTTATCTTGCTCTATAAACTTCAGCTTTTTCTCTTTCAGTAACTTTCAACTCTAATAGTGGTTGTTTGCAGCCTTGTTGGAAGTGAAGATGTTAAAAAAAATATTATGTGGTAGCTCTTAGAGAGGTTGGTTCTATCAACAGCTGTAAAATATCAGAGTAATAACAGTGCTATGTTGCACATGATGATGTTCCTGTTAATGCTTTTGGTGCACATTGTTGAGGCCACATAAGGAACCCTAAGTTACAACTTTGGATTAATTAATGAGACTAAAACAATTGTATAGCTAATTGCTTAGAAGGCCTTGCTCTATCTATGAATGAGTCAAGTTCTCTTTAAACATAAATCATGCCAAAAATAACCCAAAATATTAAACATTAAAAACCATCCCCACCACCTAATTGTTTTAATATATCTTTTACAAATATTTGTGGTCTACGAAGCAACCTTCTATTAATTGTATCTTCTTACAAAATTTACAAGACTTGCTTGCTCTTAGTGAGATTAAAACTTACAGTTTTTAATCTCACTTAGAGATAGTACCCATTAAAACTTACAGTTTTAATGGGTACTTACAGTTTTAATGTGTACTATCCTTTGATTTGCGAAGACTCCAATAGTCACATGTTTGGTTTAGGGAATACATATGCATCAATGCACCTATTTGTTGTGAAATCAGATTTGAATCGTTTGACCATTCTTTTATTTACTTCTGCTTAGAGTCTCTTTACTCTATCACTTTTCTTCTTATTTTTTAACCGTTCTCCTTCTTCCCAAGACTGCACCTTTTAAATTGACCATGTCCTTTTGCTTTACCCCTCTACCAATATTTTTGTTATTGGTGACTAATGCTCATCAATATTGATTGGCTTGGCTCTAACGCCACTGAACCTGCTGGCACTAAACCGTATAATCTTTGCATTTCTCAATCTCTTATTCAGGTAGTTAAATTTATGACTTGTTTTTCTGACATTTCTAAACATTTACCTTCACTCTTTGATTTATGTCTTGTCTCTGACCCTAGCTTGTGTTCAGTTTCTCATTTTTTTCTGTTAGGTGGTTCTGACCATGCAATGATCTCTGTAAATCTTTTATCTCAAACTTCTTCGGACCCACCCTATCATTGCACTACTTGCTACTACCCTAAAGCTGACTGGGATTCTTTTTGTGATTTGTCTTTTCTGGTGTGTTGTTTTTTCTCTCTCAGCTGACAAATGCGCCTCCTATTTAACCTCCTGGATTCAGCCATGAATAAAAGCTTTTATTCCTTCTTTTCGGTTTCAAGTCAAGCCTCATTCTACTTCATAATATTCACTTTTGTGTACAGCTGCTATATCTAATCGTAATCATTTTTAACATCTTTTTCAAAAGAATAACTTTTTTGAAAACAAAGGGCTATTTACTATTGCAAGAAAATGAATGTAAAAAATCGAATGTAAAAAATCGAATGTAAAAAATGTAATGTAAAAAATGTAATGTAAAATCGATGTAAAAAGAGCTGTCTGATGCTAAGCTCCATTATTCTCATTTCACTTAATGCCGTATCTTATCTCAGAAGTTTGGAGTTTTGGAACTTTTGGACTGATGGAAAATCTTCAACAATGTCATTAACAAGGGTAGGTCTAATAGTCTCTCATTCATTTGACTGGTCTTATTACCTCTCCGAAGGATAAGGCAGATCTATTTGCAAAGAACTTTTCTTCTAATTTGACTCTAGAATCTTATGGCCATTCTCTTCTTTACATTTTAGTTAAACAGGTGAACCCATTGTTAGACATTCAAATTACTCCAGCTACTGTTACCATAGTCATATCTCAATAAAACACTTCTATAAAACTTATTCTCAACTAGACTCTTCTATGGCTTGTGATCCAGACAACATGTTTCTTATCTAAATTAATTATCTTTCTGACAATCTTACATATAAAGTAGCTCTTTTTGCTGATGACTTTTGAAAAAAAGTCTTTTCTTTTTGATCACTTAGAACAGGCAGCCGATTTTGAATCTGATCTCACTTATATAACAGTTTGGGGCTTGCAGTGGCTTGTGATTGTGAACACCAGTAAAACTCACTTATTTATTGCAAACAGCTATCACAATACTGTTGACATTCCTATGTTAATGAATGGTAACCCTCTCACTGAGTCCTCTTTTTTATGTCTTCTTGAATTATTATTCACTATTGACCTCTCATGGAAACCATATATATAATTATATTGCTGAATTAGCATCTGCTAAGGTTGCTTCTCTTTATTGTGCTTGCCATTTTCTTACTTCTGATTCTAATTGTCCCTGTATGGAAATTGTCATATTTTGGCTGGTTTTTCTAATAATGCTCTTTCTCTTCTAGACAAAGTCCAAAAATGCATTGTAAAAGTAGTTAGACCCACTATCTGCCAAGTTTGAGCCTCTCTACCATCCTCATAAAGTTCCATCTTTTTCTCTCTACCGTCGTCATAAAGTTCCATCTCTCTTCTACAAATACATAAAATACTCAAAGGAGTCATTATCAACTTTTTTTTTCTTTTTTTTTTTTAAATTATTCACCTCCCCAAGGCCCGAGGAGGCCACTACAGTCAAGGAGGCTACTCATTTTATTTTTTTTTGTAAATCGTGGTACAACCCTCTCTCAACTCTTTAACTCCGAAACACGAACCTTGACAAGCACGACTGCTGCGCGGAGAAATTAAGTTGAGCGTGGTACTTCCAGGGACGTGGTGGGAGTTGAACTTCGAACCGCTCGCTTACTAAGCGAACGCTCTTACCACTACACCACTACCGCAACTAAAACTCATTCTTTCTTGACTCGTCATTCAAAAGCAAAGTATTTTTAATTTACTGTATCTGTCAGTGCATGCTCTAAAAACTTTTGTTTGTCTAGTTTTTTATAGACATTTTAACCCTTTTGAACTCTCTCCCATCTTCATATTTTTCTGACTCATACAACCAACAACTTTTGAAGTTTTCTGTCAATAGTTTCCTTGCTCTATATCTCTCTATTTTTTTTTTTATTATTTTTTTTTTCTATTTTTTCTAACTCCCAACTTAATTGTGATGATTTGAAACCTTGTAAGGATTGAATCAGAATTAAAAAAAAATACTGTTTGAAAAGGGTTTCTCTTTTTAATGACATAATGCAGACCTTTTTTTAAATAAAAAAGTGCTTAATGCATTAGCTTAACGCGATTTTGACATCATAAAATAATCTTTATTTTTTTTATAGGCGTTAAGTGTTTTAACTACCACAATAAATAAATAACCGCAAACTAGTTCAATTTAACAATTAACTCAAATAACTATAAACGTTCTAAATGTAAATTTATTATGAAAATTTTGTAATGTTTTCAATTGTCATTTTATTATTAATTTTAGTTCAATATTATTTAGTAAAAAAAAAAATATATATATATATTTTAATTATTTCTGAAATTAGTTTTTGAATAATTGTTTTTAATCGTTATTGAATAAAAAATAATAATGATTTTTTTTATTTTTAAAAATTTCTAGAGTAAACAAAAAATATTAACATTGATAAACACAAACCCATGTTAATTATTTAAACAACGATTTTGTTTTGACTAGCAAAGAAAAATTTAGGTTTCTAAATGTTTCAACTTGCGTTTTATAAAAATATAAAAAAGTTTTGTCTGCTTTGAGCATATTTTTGATACATAGTTTAGAATGCGTTCGCCAGGAATTTAATTCATAAATTTTTTATGTTATTGTGAAAATATTTTTCTTTTTAAACAAATCACAAAGAAATAGAGCTATAGAGAAAAATCGTTTTTAACGATTAAATCTTTTTTTTTTTCAAATTTTAGGAAATTAAAGAAAAATTAAATTAAGTATAAAAGTTTTAATTATGCAAACTCTTTTGTTAATTATTCTTAAAACAAAAAAACAAATACTTCTACGCAAAACTTTAATCGTGCAAACTTAAAAAAATACTCAACTGAAATAATTTAAATATATTTAATAATTTGAATTGTATCTGTTTATAATAAACGTTCGTAAAAAGTTGTTTATTAAAAATTAAGTTCCTTAACTTATAAACAAACTCAAAAGTATTTTTATTCTATGTATAATTACAAAACCCTTTTTTTTTTTGTTTGTAAGCAATTAAACTTAATAAAATAAAAAAAGAATAAATATGAGGTAATCTTTGTTAAGAACAAATTTAATTTATTTATTGAACTATATTTTTATTTTTAATTATATATCAACTTAATTAAAATATAGTAACATGTTAAAATATTTTAACATGACTTGTGTTATTTATAAACCGTTGGGCAGTTGCCCTTACGGCACCATTGTTTTTGGATAATATTTTATTTTGATGAAGATCACATAACTTACATTTGATTTTAATACGTAAGTCTTCTCTTTTTCTGTGATCATCGCATCGGCAAAGCATCGGCAAAGTCCCAAGATTTAAAAGTTTTTTAAGTAAATCTTTTGTCCTTCAAAATACAATTTATATTCAAACTTTAAACAATTTAGAGAGAATAGAAATATACAACGTTTTTATATACTAGTTTGTTTTGTTTTATAAAGAAAAATACATCTTCATTAGTAAAAAATGGAGACTGTCATTAAACTAAAACGTGCCTTAGTATTTATTTAACAGAACCTGTAATGTGCGTGTGCATAATGAAACCTCCGTTATATAAATATATTTAACTAAGTATTAGTGTCATCAGCGGGTGTTGTAGTCTACTCATGATTTCTTTACCTTATAATATAACTTGATTTATGAAAAAAACGTATTGAATCGCACGCAGAAGAAATTTAACAAATTGTCTTCATTCAAGTATTGCGAGTAACAGGTAATTTTTTTTTTCTGTGCCAACCCCCTCCCCCCGCATAATTTAAAGGTAAAGGTATCTATATACCTTTAACTAATAAGAAAAGCAAATACATTTTTTTTTAATATCTCGAAAAAATGTCTTGATATTTTTGTTATCATGATAACAAAAATATTAAGACATTTTTTGAGATATTAAAAAAAATGTCAATCCTTAATTACAAATTTTTTTGCAAATGTTTTTTATTATAAATTCAGTAAAAAATTCTTAAAAAATCTATATTACAAAAAAACATTTATATTCTGTATTAACAAATATGCAATATAGATTTTTTAAAAGTTTTTTACTGAAAACTTTAAAAAATTACTACTTTTTATTAAAAACATTGCAAAAAATTTGTAGTTAAGGATTGACAAACAATTTTTCATTTTGCTAAATATTTGGATAAAAAGTTTAGCGTCGAATTAATTGCTATAAAAAGGAAAGATATATCGCGATGAAAAGTTACAACAATTATTTTTAAAGTAAATTCTTTTTTTTAATAAATATCTTTACATATCGTTATTTATAAGTTAATATTTATAAGTTTGGAATATAGATTTTTTAAAAGTTTTTTACTGAAAACTTTAAAAAGTTACTACTTTTTATTAAAAACATTTGCAAAAAATTTGTAGTTAAAGATTGACGAACAATTTTTCATGTTACTAAATATTTGAATAAAAAGTTAAGCGTATAATTAAATGTTATAAAAACGTATGATAAGTCGCGATAAAAAGTTACTTCAATTATTTTTTTTTTCTAATAAATATTTTTACATATCGTTATTCAAAAGTTAATGTGGTTTTTATAAAAATTAATTACTTCTTTTATGTTACCGCTAATTTAAAAGTTAAAAAATGATAAAAAGTAGCTTAACCAAAACAGCTCTACGCGTACGTAAAAATCGCTTAAGGCGTACGCAAATTGCTTTAGGCATAACGCTTTAAAACAAGGCCTGTAATGCTAGGTGGTAATACCATTGGGCATTTTTATTAATTGTTATCTTAAATGTAAAAATATTGCTTGGTGCAGCACCAATAAAAACATTTTTTGTATAACAAACAAATACATGCAATTTGAATAATATTTAATTTACATCATCTATCACCACTAGTGCTTAATAATCTGAAAAATGTTTATTAAATATCTATTGACTCCTTGTTTTTAAACTTTACTTAATAACAATGAACTCTATTTTAGAAATGTTTTTGTCAAAAAAATCTGAAACAATTACTATATTCAAGTCATCAAATTTTTTATGATTAGCAGGACTCAATAATTAGTAAATAATTAGATTACACGTTCGCAAATCAATTCAAACTGAAGTTAAAAGGAAAAAGTTTTAACTAAAACAAAAAGGACTTTTAATATTGTATAATAAGTGTTATAATACTTCAATATTTCTAGAGCTTCATTTTAAGTTTTCCCTCTGATATAGGTAAAAGAGCATAACAAATCTTTACATTTTTTATGTACAAAATCAATAAAATAAACCTTAATACTTTTACTACCTCTACATAAAATTTTAGATATGTATTGAAATCAGAGGTCATGAATGGAGGACAGATGATTTTCAAAGTTAAGTATTTCAAAGTTACCTATTAAAAAGAGTAACCAGGAACTACTAAAGTACTGGGAGGCACAACTTTGATCTCATGCAATTTTCACAAGAGGTCTAAAAGTTTAATACGCTTAAAATAATTTGTTGAAGTATAACTATACATGAACATGGTTTTAAAACTAATTTTAATTATTTTGATATTTATATTAATGATTTTTTAGAATTATTTTTTGTTTCTCATTAAATAATGCCTTAAAACTCATTAAGTTTTTGTCAGTTTATAGAAACAAAAATGTTTTATAAAATTTTCTTATAAAAACTTTAAACTTTAATATATAAAAATTATAATTTAAACTATTTAGTTAATTAAATAAAAGTATTTACACAAGATAAACATAGAAAAAAACTATAAGTATAATCAACTCTATGTTTTCATGTAACAAAATTAAATATCATTTATAAAACATCATTTGTAAAACATATAATTGTATATTTATAAAACCAATATGATCTAACTTCTCTATTAAAATAATGTTAACAATTTTAAAAAATCATTTATTGCTGCAGAAAATGTTTTTTTTTTAATTATTTTATGAAGCAAAAATATTTATAAATATGCATCAGCTCAATATCAACAAAAAATATGTTTACAAACTTTAAGAGATTCAAAACCTTTTTTCATTATCTACAATTAAATTGAAAGTTATCAACACTGCACTAGTGTCTTTGACTATCAATTTATAATTCTTATGTTGTAATAAATCTTAATTCTTAAAAGTTGTATAAGCAGTATATATAAAAGAATAATTTATATTAATGTTTTTTGTAAGGTTGAACTCAGCCAACTTCAAATTGCAACATTAAGACGTTATAAAAGATATTATCGAATCCCAACTCGACCTGGTATGAGCAAATCTCAGCTTATTGAGGTATTGAAATAATTTTTATTTTTTGTAAATAAATTCAACAAGGCTGCAACCAAGCACTACTTAAGTACAGAGTTACCAGAAAACAAAGAACATTTTAAAAGGATACCAAACCTCCAAGACATGTTGTGTTCATATTAAAGAGAACAAAAAAAAAAACGCTTGGGCTAATTTTTTTGATTAAAACTAAAGAATAAATGCATACCTAGAAAAACTAACTTTTATGTTTTAGTCAACGCTGGCCAAAGCCTGCCAACTTGACTAAAAATCCATATATTTATGTGTAATTGGCGGTACATTGAATTATGGGATGTATTGAGGAACCATATTATAAACAACATAAATTTACTACACATCTTTGTCGTCTGCTAAATATATTATATACTATAATATCAGATTTCGTTTTTCAAGAATTAAGTTGCTTTTTCTATAAATACTCACAATATTAAATATGCCAGCCTTTTGCTCAGCCATCAGTTGTGTAACAAGCGTGGAAAGAATGTTGGAAATAATATATCTTTTTTTAGATTTCCAAAGGATAAAAATAGGTAAGTAATTATTAGTCAAATCAAATCTATAATATAACTAGTATATCAAGAATTTAAAGAAACTTATAAAACGTTATTTTACTTTAAATTTTATGAAACAAAAAATATTTATACATAGTATGATGTAAATAATTCCACTAAATTAATTAGGTTTAACCTATTATTTTGATGCAAGCTTTGGGTTCGTAATTACCTTCGTCAAGATCTCGATAAAAAATCAATTGAAAAACTTAATCTTAAATATACTATTTGTAGTGAAAATTTTGATTCTTTCCAATGAATGAAAATTTTGATTCTTTTCCAAATTTCTTGCCAATAATAGAGTAAAAGAGCACTTGTAACTGCTGTACCAATAATTTTTAACTTTCCGAATCAACTTTCTACTTTAAATTTAAAGAGAAAACAGCCTGCAAACAGACTTCATTTACAAGATAAAATACAAAAAAAAAAAAAGAAATCAACGATAAATTCAAATTAAGTTCAATAAATAGCATTGAGAATAGCAGTACAAATAATGTAACTGTCAAAACTACTTTTAAAAATTTATCATCTCAAGTTAAGATTTGTCGACAAGAGCTCTCTATTTATATTTAGGATTTTCATTATTAAAACAACAAATTTCACATCCATCTACAGGAGCAAAAGTTTATATATTTGATCCACCACATCTTATAAAAAATCGTCATTTAGATCCAGGATCACTATTAGCCATGCGAGTAAAATTGGAAACACAAATTTTTAGTAGTCAAGTTGCTACTGCTTTGACTGAATACGCTTCTGCAAAACTATTGCCTGGAAATATTTTGTCAACAGCCTTTTTTGTTAAAAATATGGATATTTTATTTGACATCTTAAACTCTTGTAAACTAAAAGCAGATAAATCAACACGCTCTGCTTTAACTCTAAATAATAGTTTTATACAAATGCTTGAAGATTTAAGAGTTTGGGTTATGGGCTGGCATTTTCCTGACGCTCGCAGCCAAAAAAGTATATCCAGTCATTGGGGTTTAGATGTCACTATTTCTAATATTCTTTGTCTTGCAAACAAGTTGCTTCATGAGGATTTTTTTTATGTTTGCACAGCTCAATTTAATCAGGACTGTTTAGAAATTTTTTTTTGTATTAATACAAAGCAAAGGAGACTGGAATTACAGACCAACAGTGCAGTTTAAATCAGCATATAAAAATGTCTTAGTACTCCTTTCAATAGAACAATCTAACTGTAACAGTAATTATCTCCCTGAATCAGATTTTTCAGCTGCAGTTACCATTGACTCAATCACCAACATAGTATTTGAGAATCAAAACCTACTTCACGAAATGGAAACTATTTTTATAACGCAAATGAAACTTATATTACTTAAAAAAAATATTATACAACAAATTATCAAAGTAATAAAAAACAATTGCAATTTTACATTTCCTTATGATGAATATATTGATCATGCTTTTTTTTTAGAAGAAAGTTTAATCAGACACTATGTTTATACAATAATAACTTATTATATAAGGTTTTATAATCGTGATCTGGCACCATGAAACAAGACATGTAAAAACAAATTAGTTCTCATTATTCATGCTTGATTTTATTTTAATGATAATGATAAAACAAGATATTTATTATTTATTATTGTTGTTTTTTCTCTCAGTATTATTTACTATATATTTAGCATCTAATTTAAACTAATATGGGGTATATATTTAAACTAATATGAAACGAATGCAGTGTTAAGATGATTAAAATGACTTATGCAAAACATGTTAAATTTACATCAAATTTACAACTGCGTCAACATAATAATGTTAGATGATATATAAATGTTATATATGCAATATTATGAAATAGTTTTTTTAAAAGAATTTATAAAAGAAAAGTTTTTTTTATGGGAAATCTCTGTTAAAAATAATGCAAAGGTACAAATATTTCACTAAGAGTTGCGTTGTTTATGATTACTTGGTCCAGCAAGACATCCCACAATGCTTTGCGGCTAAAATTACATATATTTATCGGGAGTTGGCAGGCATTGACGCTTGCCTTCTCCGTTTTGTTGTAGGCCAAATAGTCTTCATAATGTATTCCACAATCTACAGACTTAATAATTTATTCAAGCGCATTTTATTTCCTAAGAGTTTTAGTGCATGATGTCATTGATTTGTTTAAAATATCGATTATGTAAATAATCCTGATACTTTATATGAGCATATTTAGGGTTAGCGTCTATGAGTTGATTGTTACGTGTATGTTTTTTTAACAGTATTGGTTCGGGATGGCTTCACCATGAGGGTACAGTACATCCAGTAGCAGTTTTACACAGGTGTTTAAACATTCTTTCATGACGTGTCTCCATTGTTTTTGTATTTATTAAGGATCTTAGAGAATGGAGAACATCTGAGAATACCTAAGCTTTAAAAGGTAACTTGTGTTGTCTGGTAGCTAGCTCAATAGACTTCATTATGGTTCCATTATACTTTTCAGCTAGTCCATTCCCTTGGGGATTATATGCTGTAATATAGTTTGCTGCAATACCTTTTTCTAGTATGTATTATTTTAATTATTTACTGATGTAAGCTGAACCTCTAGGTCATTTTAAATCTAGGTCTAAACGTTCTTATGGTTGTGTTGCCTTAATCAAATTGGATTTTAGTAGTTTATGGTATCTTGGCTTACATTCTTTAAATAATTTAGTGGTTTATGGTATCTTGGCTTACATTCGTTACATAATTTAGTGGTTTATGGTATCTTGGCTAACATTTGTTACATAAAATTATTTGACTCGTAAACTAATTATTATATTAAAATAATAATACATGGTGTAATTTAAAAAAAAATTTTTTTTCTAATATAGAAATTGAAACTAGAGATATGTTTATACAAAACACACAAAAGATGAATTGTTATTATTTTTTTTTTTTTTTCCTCCTCATTCAAAATGATCTAAAAAATTTGATAACTTTTTTTAGCGACTCATTAATGATGTTTAAGTATAATTGTAAATTATACTTAAACACCATTAATGAGTTTATCATTAAGTATAATTGTAAATAATACTTAAACATCATTAATGAGTCGCTAAAAAAAGTTATCAAAGTTATAAATGCAGTAAAATTTTATTTAGAAATAAAAAGATTTTTTTATTTTTATTTTTTATAGTCAATCAGTAAACATTTTAAAGGAATTTCTGTTCCTGAAAAAGAAACAATTACCTATTTTATTTATATGGTTAAGACACAGAGAAGTAAATTTGATCAACACCCAATAGATGCTGCTTAAGTAGTAAGTTATGACTTTTTGTTGGGTTTTTTTTTCGCTAACTTTTTCTTTTAGTTTTCAATTTTTTTTTTTATTTTGTTATTTAGAGTTTACTGTAGACTGAGCTTTCCAATTAATTCAAGGCATTGGAAAAGAACAAAAATGAGATATCCCATGATGCTTGTGTTTTTTAGCAAATACATTGTTAACATCACAGCATACAAGAAAATAAATAATTAAGAATGAGATAGTGTAACTCAAGTTTGGAAAAATGGAAGTTGTTTTTATGCTAATTTTATTCTATTGGAATATTTCTATGTTGAAGTTTTTGCAACGTTCATATAATTGCTTCTGTAATTAAAGTATAAAGCTTTCATGGATACCAAAATTGGTCAGTGGAAGTGTCGTTAATTCACTGTGCGTATAGAGACGATTTTTTATGAATTTATGCTTGCAATATTCGTAATGTCTGGTTGTCATGGGTTCATGTCTGCAATAACAGTTACGTTATTGACCTTTTAATATATGAATTGTTTTTAAAATCAGACTAAAAAAACTTGTATAGAATTAAGTTAACAATGAAGTTTAATGAGATAAATATCGACTTTTTTTCATGTTAGTAAAACATTAATTTTTCATATTAGTAAAAAGAATATTTAAATTTTCATGAGTCAAAAATAAATTGGTGACATATGCCAAGTTTATAGTTGTTAAGCTTAATTTATAAAAAAGCTTGATTTATAAAAATTATTTATGTATATTAAAAAAATGAGTATGGATTTTGTGAAACACCGCATTTCATTAACACCTCAGATATGGGATCTTGAAACCGTAAACAGTTTGTAAGCAAACTGTTTACGGTTTCAAGATCCCATATCTGATTACGGTTAGTAACTTTTGAACCAAAGAGTTGTGGTTCAAAATCTGTTTACAGTTATTAATACCATAAAATATTAATTTTATTTTTAATAGGATTTGACGATTGACATTATTAATTGTTTGGAACAAATCAATAAATTTTCCAAATGTAAGTTTTTTAACCAAATAGGTTTTTGTATATTTTATAAAATCAATTACAATATTTGCGTTTATTTTATCGTTGCTTTATTTCGTTATAGAATATAAAAGCAACTTTAAGTTTATTAATAGTTAACTAATCCAAAAGTAAAATTTAGGCCTTTTTAGTGTTTCACCTTAAATATTTTCACATTTAATCAGGAATATTATTGTGTAGTTTTGTTGTAATATTAGTTTTCGATACACTTGTTGTTAACGTGCCAGGTTTTGAGTTATGTTTTAATTTATACAAGTTTGAGCAACTTTTTTTTTTTCTCGTGCTTTTTTGAGTTAAACCACATTGATATTTTATCATTGTTTTGTTGCCACACTTGGATAGCAACTTTTTTGTTTACGGGTTTTGATAAGTGTCACTAATTCAGAAAACGCTTTTTGTATAAGACCCCTTAAAATTTGTGATTCTAGAAATTACTAATTCAGAAAATGCCTTTTGTATAAGACTCGATTCACTAATTCAGAAAACGCCTTTTGTATAAGACCCCTTAAAATTTGTGAGTCCAGAAAACCCCATATAACACGCCGTATTGAGCACTCTCACTGGAAATTAACATAATTCCTACAATATATATATATATATATATATATATATATATATATATATATATATATATATATATATATATATATATATATATTTACGTACGACAAGTTATGACATTGAAACGATTGATATGTATTAAAAATTTTAAAAGCAAATAAAAAAATTAGGCTCTATAGATGACGTCAAATATTTCTTGAACAAATTTTCACCTTTTTAATTACCCTAAAAATGACGTCAAATTGTTGTTTTGTTTTTATTTGCAAACAAACTATATTTTTAATATTTAAGTTTTGAAATTTTAAGTGATAAATTTTAATTGTAAAGTATAATTAAAAATTACAAGTTTATTTTGAAAAACATACTTAGTAAATAAAAAAGTATATTTTTATTAAGTAAAAGATTTGATACTTTTACTTTATTAAAATATACTTTTATAATTTACTTTAATAAAGTAAAGTTTGAAACAAAAGGTAAATACATTTTCAAAAATATGTTTCTTTTATTATGTTAAAAGGCATTTATATTTCTTTATTTTTTTTGTTAAAAATGCATTTACTTTGTTAAGAAAACATTTATAACTTTTATAAATAATGTAAAATATAAATATATTTGAAGTCTTATATATTTTAAAGACCGTTATACTCATGCCAAGTCTCTTTTATTTAAAATGAAAGTTTTTAATATATATGAGATTAATATTTTTAATATTCTTTATTTTACGTTTAAATGTAAAACCAATTCATCCCCGATTTCTTTCCATAATTTGTATTCATCAAAAATAAAAATAAATACATTTTACGCAATAATAATTTTATTAAGCAGCCCATTTTTCAAACAAATCTTTTTAAATTTTGTATTGATTATCGCGGACCATTCTTATGGAATAAAATAGTTTTAAAAAATTTTATTGAGGATTTTATTAATCAAAGTAACTACTTTTCTTTTAAACAAAAGCTTAAAGAACTAATTTTTACAATCGATGAATTATTTAACAATATACTTCTGATATTTTTTGTGATCTTTATTTTTACCATTATATTTATATATAAATTTATTATTATATATTTGTATTTGAAATATTGTAACGAAATGCTTATTTTACATGTAATAAAAGAACGAAAAAAAAAAAAAAAAAAAAGTAATAAGAGTCTGTGTCATCAAATCAAACTAAATATATTTTTTAACTTTTAATTAAGGGTAAATATTTCTCAAAAAGCACAAAAAAACACAAATCTGCACCCTATATCACCAAAATTTTTGAAACTTGGCACAAATGTTTGTAGATATGTTAGGAAAGACTGTAATTTTTTTTTCATAAAATTCCTTACCGTTTATAATTTACAGCAATTTGAAGTTTCCTTGATTTTGACTAAAAACTGAGGGGGGAAAAGTGCCAAAAATCATTCCGTTTACTTTCACCTTAATATGGTGCTTGTAGTGATGCCACAATTCTGAAACTTTGTCCGAAAAGAGTTTAAAACCTGTTAAATCCGAAAAATATAGTTTTTTATATGTCAAAACAAGGGAATGTAGCTTATTTTAAGATCCATAAAATACACTTTATAACGCCGAGAAAAAACGGCATTGACAATTATAGCTATAAAAAAAATCTGACTGATATAAAAAAAATTTAATTTCGATTTTCTTAAAAATAAGATCAACACCAACTTTTCGAACCAATTTTGTTTTGGCCTTATATTTACTTGAGGAATTATTGATGTTTGATATAGACACAAAATTTTTTAATATTTTTTAAATTAGACACTTAATATAACCCTACCTAGTAGAGTCTAGAGTGCTAGAGTATTCTTGAGTACTTTATTTAAAATAAGTAAGATTTATTTTGTGAGGTGTCATATAAATTTTATAGCACCATTGTTACAAGAGAGATTATAAGTGTTAGACTATTTCATAGAGCACTGTATTAAAATTAGTAAGGTTTATTTTGTGAGGTGTTGCATAATTTCGATAATTTTTACAACAACATTTTCAAGTTTCCTACAAACTATTCAACAGCATTGGTTTTCAACAAATTATTACAACATAATCGTTTCTATATTATTATATTTAACATTAAAAAAAAAATAAGCAACAACACAATTACAATAACATCACAATAACACAATAGTTAAAACCTGTTTAAAAGCAAATGTTAAACTTAATGAACTGATTTTTAAATCATTTATATTTATTTAAAACATATTTTTATTCTAGGCAGAACTAAATAAATAATAAAAAAAGTATATAATAATAAATAAACATTTTTAAACTTCAATATAACAGTTTTTTAGTTAAAATATAAAACAAGATCTTATTAATTTGGTATGTCTTTGGTAAAACTAAGAAATAAAGAAGAAATGGATATTTAAAAGTAGACATTTAAATTTGTATAAATATGTAATCCTAATAATTCTTATATAAAAGATCATACGCATAACTAATTTGCAATTTAAAAAGTTAAAAAGTTGCAGTTAAAAAAAAAAAAGGAAAAATAAATCAGTGTCAGGTCAGGAGTATGGTCTTCATGATCATCCTGCTACTGGTAACATGTAACCCAGTGCAACCTGCTCCATGTTCTGCTGCATTGCAGGATTTGCTTTCTAAGCAAAGGCTGGAAGGAGTGTTCTTCCTGTCATCAGTACTATCTTATATCAGTCATGCCTATAGTAACTTTTTTTTTTTTTTCATATAGTTGGAGGTGCCTTAGTTACTGTATTAGCTCACCTGTAATCTACGTTATATGTATGTTTGTGTTTTGTCTGAACCTCTGGCGCGGTGTTGACTCACCCGTAAGTTGATTTATGTTTGTTTGTGTTCTGTTTATACTCTAATGCAGCGTGAGCTCAGTAAATAACTATTTACTCCAACTACAAAACCTACACTCACCTAAGACTCCTGTATTTTGTTAGATACAGTGTTTTTACTAATGCACTTCAAAAATGTCATGCCTGGTTTTCTCAAAGTACTGTTGCGGGAAGTAACTCCTTTTAACTACTCCAGGTCAGGTCAGGATAATCGAGATCAATCTTGCTACTGGTGTCACGTAACCCAGTACCACCTGCCACAAGCCCTGCTGCCTTGCAGAGTGTGCTCTTCTTATGCAAAGGCTAGGAGAAATAAACTCCGACTAAAAATTTCCCTGCCTTGGGGCTCTTGGTTGAGTAAAGGCTAGAGATGGTGTCTCGATAAAAACACTCATCTTGAGCAGATGTTAACTGCATCCAGCTAAACATCCCCTGCCTTGGGGCTCTTGGTTGAGTAAAGGTTAGAGTTGGTGTCTCGATAAAAATACTCATCTTGGGCAGATATTAACTGCATCCATCTACTGTCTTGTAGAAAGCCTCCTAGGCAAAGACTTTAGGGGTAAGCAAAAAATTCTGCTAACCAGCCTCGAACCCCTTCTTCATCTATTAGGCTGGCGTAGATGTAACCTGTGTTACATTGTTTCCTGCCTAGGATGATAAATGCTGGATCTCCTTAATTTTACTCATAGAATTTTGCTTATGCCTCCTTGATAATGGCTATGCAACTCTTCCTGTTATCTCCATATGAGGGTACAGCTCTAAAACTCAGTTTAATGATTTTGAGGCCGGCTGGTAGAAAGGTTTCCCGAACTCTGTGGTAGCTCTCAGAGAGGCTGATTCCATCAACAGCTGCAAAATATCAGAGTATTAACAGTACCATGTTGCGCATGGATGGTGTCCCTGTTAATGCTTTTGGTGTGCATTGTCAAGGCCACATAAGGAGCCCTATGTCACGCTTTAGGGTTAATTAACAGGACTGAGACAACTGCATAGCTCATTGATTAGGAGGCTGTGCTCTATCTATGAATGAGTCAAGTTCTCATTAAACCCAAATCATGACCAAAGTAACCAAAAATTTAAAACCTAAAAAACCATCTCCACCACCTAAATATTTTAATATATCTTTTACAAATATTCGCGGTCTACGAAGCAACTTTCCATCAGTTGAGTCTTACC